AGCAGTCATCATGATAATCATGTCCACGCATCTGCTGCATCTCGAATCGGGTCTAACGGGAATAAAAAGAGATAAGGACGATGACGAAGAAGATGATGATAATGAGCACCGTGAGGATGCTGATGATGATGATGATGATGAAGTGACATGATAATTATCACGACGCATCCTTAGCATCACCAGCAGTCATCATGACAATCATGTCCACGCATCTACTGCATCTCAAATCGGGTCTAACGGGACACTTGAAACGTATATAAAAAGAAATAAAGACGTTGACGAAGAAGATGATGATGAGCACCGTGATGATGCTGATGATGATGATGATGATGATGATGATGATGAATTGACATGATAATTGAAGGCGCCTGTGCTTGTGCTAGTGCCGTTTTTTTTGCAGAAAGACACTAAATTAGCGGCGACGACTACCACGCCGATGATGACGGTTATGCTTATTTAGCAGCCAGCCTTGGACTTGTAGCCGCCCTTCTCGTACGCCTCCCCCTTTGAGGAGAAGGGGTCGGCGGATATTATATTAATATTAAAAATGATTTATTTGGAAATTATAATTATAAATTTTAATATATAATTGAAATATATATAAATTAATTTATGTAATAAATATATATATGTTATTTTTGATAATTGAGATATTAAATTAAATATTATTTAAATAATTAATATAATAATTGAATTAAATATATTTAATATATTTTTTGTTAAAGAACTTAATTACTAAATATATATATATTATTAAAACTTATTTTCTAGAGTAAAAACACATTTTCTTTTGTGAATTTTAATATCGATGAATAGAATTAATAATATTAATTAAATTTAAAGAAAATTGTTTTAAACCAAAATATTTTTTTACAAAATATATACAAAATAAACCTTTTTTACAACCCTAATATATAATATATAACATATTACAATATAATTAAAATTTAAAAAATAAAATATAACACATATTATAAAAAAACAAATATATACATTGTTTTTGTTTTTAAAATATTTATTCCTGATTTTAATTATTATTACATGTGTTTTTAATATATTACGGACCGTTATATTCACACCAAAATTGTAGATTTTATAGAATCTTAACATAAAAAAAATCGAAAAATCTATCAACTATTACGCTACGGTTTATTGCAAGCGCGAAAAGCAGGTTTTAGCTGAAAAAAACAGTTGTGGATTTCTAGGGCTATATTTTTAATATAATTCGAGAAAAAAAAAACGTTTGAGCTTAGGGCGTGGTTGCTTATGGTAAGGAAAATTGTTTTGTTCGGTGGCGAATACATGATTTATTTGGATATAATTTGTTATTTGTGATGAAATGTAGAAATGTGTTCGATAGCTGCTATGCGATGGTTAAGCTATTTTTTCGTTAATCTCCTAAATTAAGTGAACGAATTCGTTTGTATGTGAGTTAATTGATTTCGCGGTTAGATATTCGGTTAATTATTTTTCTTTTTTTCTTCGTTATTCTTTATTTCTTGAATTATTATATTTTTGATATTGTTTTTTCTCTAATTACTGTATATTTTTCCTATTTTTGTTTTTTTAATTGTATTTAAAATTTGCGATTTTCGAATCGGGCCTAAAAATATATATTTTATATATTAATTCCATATATAAATAAATTGTGGATTTTCGAGTCGGAGCTGCCAGAAAATATTATATATATTATTTTCGTACTTAAATATTTCGATGTTCGAGTCGGAGTTACGAAAATACATTTCGTGTATTACTTTCGTATTTAAATGTTGCGATTTTTGAATCGGAGCTGCGAAAGTGCACTTTGTATATTATTTTCGTACGTAAAAATTATGATATTCAAGCCGAAGTTACAAAAATACATTTCGTATATTATATTGAACTTAAAAATGTTCGTATTTAAAAAATGCAATTTTTAAGCCGGACCTGAGAAAATACACTTGTATTAGAGAATATTTCGCGTATTACTTTCGTATTTAAATATTACGATTCTCGAGCCGGAGCTGCCAGAAAGCACTTCGTGTATTACTTTCATACTTAAACATTGCGATTTTCAAGTCGGAGACACAAAAGTACACTTCGTGTATTGCTTTCATACCTAAAAATTGCGATATTCGATTCGGAGTTGCGAAAACGCATTCATATATTACTTTCATACTTAAATATTGCAATTTTCGAGCTATTTTCATACTTAAACATTGCGATTTTGAAGTCGGAACTATGATAATGTACTTCGCAAATTACTTTTAAATTCACTAGTTGCGAGTTTCAAGCCGGGCCAGACAAAATGCATTTTGCATACTACATTCGTGTTTAAAAATTGTGATTTTCGAGCCGGAGCTACGAAAATGCATTTCGCATATTATTTTCATATTTAAATAATAATTGAATGGATATACAGGTAATTAAATATCTATAGAGAATTAAATAAATAGCGGAGTCCCGGCTCTAAAATCGCAAATTTTAAATAGGCAAGTAATACGCAAAATGCCCCTTTCGCAGCCCCGGCTTAAAAATCGTAATTTTTAAATGCGAAAATAATATAATGATATATAGAGTAGTTTCGTCATTCTGATTTATAATCGCAATTCTTCTAATTATCTAAGTATTTTATAACTTTATTGTTAGATTTTTTAATAATCTAATTATTCAATTATCTATATTTTTATTTAAGTAATTATTAATTTGTTTAATTATTTATTTATTTATAATTATATTATAATTTAAATATACTAATTATTTAATGTATTGTTCTTATCTAAAGATTAATTATCCTAATTCTTTATTTATGAATTTAATTTAGTATTTTAATTATTTTATATTTTAATTATTCATCTATTTATTTAATTTTTATAATCGAATTACCAAACGTTCAAAAACCCACGATTTTTAATAGTTGACCATGCGAAAATCCGCATAAGATTATGCCAAAAGAAAACAAATAAACAAAAATAACATTGAGTTTTCGATAATCAACCACACGAAAGGCAAATAAAATCATTTGTTCAAGGTTGGAAAATAATGCGCGCATCTATGCCAATAATCCCATTTCCGAATCCATTCCAAGCCCATTCTGCAACAAACATCATACACGAGATGGAATATATACTTCTCAAGAGCGCAATTCCCACATAGGGCATATATATAGAAGGTTATATAAACAAAACAATTCTTCTAATATCATTATTAAACTAATTTAAATAATATTTTTAATTAATTTATATATATAATTTAAATTAATTATATATTCAAAAAAATAATAAATATAGATTTAATTCAACCAAATTATAATAATTATTTTAAACATTTATAATATATCTATTTTCATTCAAGTTATATTAATAAATATAAATATATATATATATATATCAATATGGGAATTATATAAAATCATTATATCTAAGAATCTCCCAATCGTCGGCCAACCACAATCTATTTACGATCCCATAATTCCCAATCAAGGAGTGATATTGGATATAACCGTCTTCCTTTTCGCTACTCGCCGCTACAACTTACTCGGTCTAATATAATAAAAATATTATTCGAACAATTTAAACTCATTATTATTTACACCAAAATCTTTTCCCTCCGCCTCAGCAACTTAATAACCACCATCATACACCATAAACCTACTTCAGAATCGTAGCTCGCTATCTTCGGGGGCAACCACCTACAAACCCAAGAATTGCAAAACAAACTATTCTATAGATAATATATAATAAAGAATTATCCCATCAACAATAAAAGAATAAAAGACTTAAAAACAATCTGAAATAAAAAGAACATAAAAAGATAATAGACAGATAATGAAAAACATACCAATATCCAATAAATCTCCAATCGCGGTCCAAAAAATTCGGTTTGTAAAAAAACCATCAGATTTTCAGATGTTCATTTCTAATAATTTGGTGGTTTCGTGATATTAATTCTTCGGGGGCATAAAGAGCCAACTACTCATTCTAATTATCCTCGAAAGAATACATACTAATTATGGTATTAGAAACAATTAAGGGTTATTTGTTAAAATTATTTAGTATTTATTAGTAATATTATTTATTATTATTATAATTATAATGAATAATATTATTAATTATATTATTATTATTGATATTATTTTTTATATTAATTTTGTTATTATTATTTTTTATTATTATTATTAGTGTTTATTATTTAAATTGTTTGTTTTATATAGTAATTTAAATTATTTATATGGATTTCGATTGTATGGAATTTATATTATTAGATAAAATTAATTAATAGAGTTGTAAAAAAACATATTTTAGAAATGATATTTTAATATTTATGTTTAATTTATTTCTATTTAACCCTTACTAACCTTTAAATTTGGGAAAATATTGTAACCCATATTATATTTAACATTATTAAATCGTTATACGAATTAATATTATTGTTATTAATTTTCAAATTCATAAATTTTATTATTTTCTCCAATCATCGACCATGTACAGCTCGAATTTTCCCATTCATACAACAACAAATTATTTCTATTCATAAATTTTAAACACACAATTATGGACAGCCCCCATTTTTTTCTTCAAATAATAACATAAATCAATTATAATATAATAATACCCATTAAAAATTAAAATATAATCCATAAATTTATATATTCAAATCAATATTTCAATAATTAAAACAATATAATTATTTATCCATTCAATTTAAACATAAATTAATAGATATATTTTTAATCTCAAATAATAAATATCATATCCAATTCCATCAATAAATAATCATAATCATCGTGTCAAAAAACAATATCAATCATATCAATAAAATCTTCCAACCACACTCCTACCCAATTCTAACATTTTAATATAAGACAAGAACATACATTCCCTCTTATTATTCAACAATTCATAAATGGTTCATGAATTGTTCCGAACAGGTCCCAGAAGATATTGATAATACAATATCTATGTAATATGTTGATGTTATTGTTTACCGGCAGCTCGAACGGTTTCCAATGGGACGCATCATCATGCCTCTCAGGATGGGGATTTTGCCGGTTGACAGTAACTCCAATGTTCAAGACCAAACGTGCGTACCCAAGCATACGGCTGGAAACCTCACACCAAGCTGGCTCCAAATACCCTCCATCAATTTCAGCCAATTTCAATGACGCACCCTCGCAAAACCTCTTCCAACGTCCGTCTCAGCGCCTCCCTCTCGGCCCTCCGCTTCTCGTCAATGCGCTTCTGTGCCTCCAAATCACTCAGGGCCGAAGTACCCCGAAAGTGGCTGTTGGCGAAAATTGTCCCATGGCTGCGTCCTGGCTCAAGTGAGATATGACATCCCAATCCTACCTTGGCCAATAGCCTTGGAGCGGGCATGAGCACATTCCGCCCGCCTACAATGGAGATGAGAACCCAATTGCCAAATTGAGGTCCCCAGACTGTCTGCATCTGCGTTTTGCTGATTTTGTCCAGCCACAGTGGACAATTGTCTGTGGGTCAAAAATATGTACCCAAAATGGAATCCAGGTAAATGGACACATGGACCAAAACCTGCAGTCCATATTCTGGTGGTTTCATTTTGAACCATATACAATTCATTATACACCTGAACATTGCCTGGTAAATGGTGGTTTCCCTTTACTTTGGTGGAAAAAGCCATGTATCAAATGAGGAAAATGTATCTTTTAAGGAGCCAATTGGTCCAATTGACCCAATAGAGCCAACCGGTCCGGCCATCCAACCCTCCCACCTCCTTCTGCGCCTTCAGCTGCTCTTCCTGCGGCCAATTCGCTGTTTTCCTATTGGTGGATGACTCGGGACAGGAACGGTTCGCTGCTCCTGCAGCAGCGAAACTCGGGTTTTATGTGGACACTGGCCATAGATTCGAGCAATCATCTTTTTGCCGGACCCAACCGGAAAGTGAACAATGCCACACTGCCCCTTTAGCCGCTTTAGCTTTTGGACCGAACTCGGTCGACATGTCCGCTTGCAAGGCTTCACAGACGATCCATGTGACGGGACGAACGCCGGCTTAACTCGCACATGTTCGCGGGAACATAGCGGGCTCGCATCGGAAAACTGGCATCCGGAGTTTTCGGCTGGTCTCCCTGGAAAAGAAGCTCAGCCTGACAACCGCTGGTCTCTGAACAGGGATCCGGATGCATTATACACCTGAACATTGCAACTTGTAAATGGTGTTGTTTCCCTTTATTTTGGTGTTGAAAAAGCCATGTTTCGAATGGTTGCAAAATGTATCTTTTAAGGAGCCCTGCTGAAACAGGTCTCCGAGCCGCAAGAAAAAAACTCACACGCCCCGCTCTCATCGCTCTCCGCGGCCTTCTCCTCGGCAGACAGCTTCTTCATGCCGCGCTTGGCAAAGGCCTCGCAAGCGAACTCGCCCATGGGCTCGTGGGTTCTTTGGGGTGCCTTTTTCAGGTTTGTTGAAGACATCACCGTTTTTCGGGTCCCCATATTTGACACATACCCGAAAGTCAAGCAGAATTCACACGTTGAAGTGTTGGTTCATGTGTAAAACCATTTGTGCCACTCATATGTGCTAGCAGCGCTGGCAGCAATACTTCTAACACTGGTAACTAGCAAAAGTGATAGTCACATAATAAAATAGCACATGAATAGCAAAGAAAAAACATAGTCAGCAACGAACAGTCACGGTAATGCTAACAAACATGGCAGTAGCTTCCGGCGTGCGTTGCAAGGGCTACAATTCGGGGCACGATTCCAGCGTATGATTCGATTGTATGCCTTGCTACAGTCTCACTTTCCTCCCTTTGACGCGACTGTACGCACAAGGAATACAAACCCCAACCCTTCCTTGCCAAAGATTGGGTGCGCGCATGCACACCAGCTCACCATCTTTCTACGATTTGAGTGCAACATGTTCAAAGCAGTTGTGCAAGTACATAGGCAAAAGCTGAGCGCTGAGACCAGGAGCAATGCGGTTGTGAGGACTCGTTGACATACAAACCCCACCAGTGCCAGAACCCGTGTCAGGTTGGCACTAGCACCCGCCAGTTTTACAAACCTTCATGCGAAGAAAGCTTGCCGCACATTTAAGGGAACTGGGAATCGTCTCCCGCCTGGTTGCGCACGAAGCGGCAGTTCATGCCCTGCATGGACATCTTACGGGGCCTGCAGAGCCGTCATCAACGAGCAGCTTTTTTGGGAGGACACCTCTTTCTTTGCTGGGGTTGATCCTAATGGGAAAAGAGACAAACCGTTCCTCAATATTTGGAACAATGAGTGCTACTTGCAGCTGTTTTGGTCTTGCAAAAGTGACAGTCTTCAGGAAGAGTACAGCTGCAAACGGTGGACTCATTCATGCGCCTTCTCAACCATCAACCAGGTGCTGAAACAGTCACGCTACAAACAATCTGGGTTGCAATTGGGAGGGACAAGGCCCCAGTCAGGTCAGAAATCCGGCGGCGCAGTCGGCTGTAACATCCATTCCATGCACCTACGCATCTTTAAGGATACAACTGCACATTCTCCAGATGGACACACCACCCCAAACAAACTTTTTGGAAGCATGCTTCGATTGTGGCCATCCCGACATGGTTGTGGTTGCCAAAACCAATGGTTGGTTGGTAGGTGCACCACCCATTTTCAGACTATACACCACCCATTTTAGACTATAGTGGGTATTGGGACCTGGCGGTACGTTTTGGCGTTTGACCCATGGCCACATTGCCAAGTCTGCGGCCCACGGACTTAGGCAAGAAGAGACTTTTGGATTGGGACATTAAGCCAGTCGTTCCAAGGAAACCTCGGTTAGCTCAGTTCTCGTAGGTCGAACATGCGAACGGACGCAAACCCCCGTGCCTGCGGGTCTTCTTGATGCCGTTGCGGTGGTTCCTCGGCAGAAACGGCGAGGCTCACCTCCACATGAGATAAGACAAGATCAGCCCAGCTTGCTTGTTTCTTGTAGGTGCCAAGCGCTTGATTTCACGTTAGTCTCTAATGGACAGGCTAGCTGCAGCCCACTTTTGCCCGCTTGGGGGAATGGGGTGGATACGCGCCTTTTTTTGGAGGACATTGGTGAAAACTTGGGGTCTTCGCAAGTGTGCAGCGGGGCCCAGATTCAACTCCCTGGTCCGCGGGCGTCCCCAACTTTTCAGCACAGCAGTGCGCGATGCTTGCGCCGAGTTTGGGCCAAGATGCTTACGCCGAGCTACCGGCATTGAGAAAGAAAGTGCGCAAAAGCTTGCAGACGAAGCTTGCACAGAGACGATTGCACAGAGAACTGGCGCAAAGAACTTTGAAGTTGCAACAAAACACTCGCAGATTGAAACTTGCGCTAAGAACCACACGGAGGATCTCGCACACCGCGTAATCGCGCTGTGTGTCATGTCTTTGCGGCGCCCGCATGCTCTTGTCTTAAGCTTGGTGGGTTTATGCGTCGGATTAAAACACCGCCTCACAAGGCTGAATGCTTTCGGGCCACCTGCCATCTAGGCATCAAATGAGATGGGTGGAACTGCCAAACTGGATGCGCCCCGTTCAACCTCCCTACCAAAACGCGTCGACCGCCTCCACCAGCCAGGTCCCAGGGTGTTGCCCATTCCACAGAAACCAACATTATAGCCACTTGGACCTATATCCACCACTTTCTTACTAAGCTTTTGAGGATGTTCCCCAACAAAAACATCTTGGCGACTGTGCATTTTCCGCAACTAGCCCAGTGATTCCGTTTCCTGAATCCCCATAGAACATGGCTGCTTGGGGTGCCAGGTTGCCTGCGATCTGCTGTTCCCAAATTAAGGACCCTACCAAAAAGAATGGCGTTCCTGTTGATGTCCCTTTCAACCACCCCACACATGGGGGGTCGTCCAAATTAGGTACCCTTATGTACCCTTTTTGGTTCAGGCCAGCACCGGCGGAACTAGGTTGCAATGATCCGTCCCTAAGGAACCAGTACGGGACAACACCCCGCACATCTCCCAAAGTCTTTGTTTCTCAAAACAGGGGTCCCCCTTTTGGATGTTTTTTTTTTTTAGTGGAACCCCCAAAAGGAAACCGACCTGTCTCCTTGTGGGATGGTTTTAAGGGGATACCGAAAGGAACCACCAACCGCCTGAAGGGGTCGACCAGGTGAGTTTGTTTCAACATCGGCCAAATGGGAAGCTAACAGATTGTTGTCCCTGAGAACCGCACCTCCAGTAGAGAGCTTAGAATAAGGGCTCCCGATTTTTTTCTGTAGTCTATTTTAGTAGGAAAACCCTCCCCCTAAAAAAGGGTGAGAAAGGGCACTACTGGGGGACCTAGCCCACCGCCCACATGGGCTGAGGCGCTTGTAGATCTGATTGTGCCCGGTGTGGTTCTTGGACTTCGCCATGACCTCGAGCATCGAAGCTCGAGGCCACGAAAAAAACACCACCGAGGCTCGGGTGAACGCAGAAAAACGCCTGGGTGATATCGTCGTTTTATTGGAAACCTCCTATTGGTTAGACCTGGGTGATCTCGTTTTTTTTGGGGGGGTTTCTTGAGAAACCTCCTATTAATTGGCCCGAAAGAGAAACCAACAGGGAAACCAACAGGTTTTCTATTCTGAGACAAACCCATTTGCATCTTGCCTGAACCATGGTTAAAAAGTCCTTCTGAAAGCAAGCGCTTAGAATGATAGATATATCAGCTGCAGTTGGTGCATTTCGCGCTAAACATCTGCAAAGCGGTCATGGACTTGGATTCTGGAGTTGGCAATTCCGCTGTGCAAGCGCATCACCAGCTGCTCAACAAAAAGCTCGAAAACCCAAGTCAAACACGAACGAATTCTGTTGACCCGGTAGAGTGTTTGCAGAAAAAGGCACACTCCCACTCCCGTGCAAATCTTTCACTCCTCGGTGTCGAACGCTGATGAAATCGAAGAGGCAGGGAGGTTGCAAGTCCAGCTTGAGCCGCTGGAACGGCGGGCAAAAGCAACAGGTGTCGTGCAGTGGAGGTTAGAATCTGAGTACCCTTTTCTTATGTAGTCTATTTTAGTAGGGGAACCCTCCCCCAAAAAGGGCAAAAGGGCACTACTGGGGGACCTAGATAAGCATTCACTGTGTCTCTGCAACTTGAAATGCTTGCCCTTTGAGCTTTCTGGTTCACCCTGCACAGCTCAACAACATCACGGCCCGGTGTGAATTTGCCAACTACAAGTGGTTTGTTGCACATAAGAAACGGCACATTGCCGGGAGGACGGATGAACGAATGGCCACCAAAAACCAACATCCGCGAGTCTTCCTTCACTTCTTGCCACATCTTCGTTTGCAGCGCTCCATTTTGGTCGGGACCCCATTTTTCCAGCCCTTGACTCTGCTTCTCGACGCTGCTTCTTGGTTTTGGGCTCCAGTGGATGTCCCCCGTTCCCACGTTCCCTGCACGCACCGCACCGCGTTTGTCACAGCTCTGCTGCCAAGGACCTGCGGCGGGTTTTGCCCGGAGAATCCCCCAACGCGCTCGAGTGAGGCGCGTTATTTTCCCCCCAAGAGCCTCGGAGTTCGATCTTTCAAGGCCTTTCAGGGATCCTTACATTATACACCTGAACATTGCCTTGTAAATGGTGGTTTCCCTTGATTCTGGTGGAAACAGCCATGTTAAAAATGGCCAAAATGTAGGCTTTAAGGAGCCCTGCTGAGTGAGGCGCGGTACGTCCCCAAGAGCCTGGTTCGATCTTTCAACGCCTCTTTAGTAATCCCCGTGAGAAGTTGATCTTCACCCAAGAGTTTCTGGGAGCGTTTTTGTGCGCGGTTGAACATTGAGATGCCGCCGCTTTCGAAGCCATAGGGTATCCACGGAGCTTTTCCAGCAGCGGCTGCTTGAAACATATCCGAGCAGACCTACGAATTGCGAACAGCCCACGGACAAATTGACGCAAACCCTATCAAGCGGCTGCCACCAAGCACTCAAAGCAATGCTGCGCTCGAACTGGGAGTCCCATGACGAAAAATCTGACAAGCCACAAAGTCACAAGTCCAACAACACCCAAGGATTCTTGAAAACCAAATAAATAAACATACGCCAACTGGTTGTGGATCAAAAATAGCCTGTTACATGGAAAGAAGGACTAAAACCTGCGGTCCCCTGATGGTTCAATTTTGACCCATACCCAACTTCCACCCATCTTTTGTCGGGAGCCAAAGGGAGCTCATGTTGGACTTATTGTGTTTCGATTGAGGGCACCCTTTTGGCACGTGACGCACGAGTGATGAGCGTGCGCTGGTGGCAGGGCATGCCGCCCTACTACCTGTGAAAAGTGGGGCATAAGCCCCGTACACAGCCCTCCGGGAGCGGCTCGACCGGAGGGGCAACCCACACTCAGGTAGACCCGCCCAGAGAAGCAGATGCAGAGCGCGAAGAGAACGAGGCATCAAAGGGGCCGAAGGCGCACAACGAAGAGGGCCAGCTATACCTTCCCCCATAAGAAAGGGGGTGTCTCGAGGCTGGGACTGACCCAAAGGCCAGGATGCCTCCCGGGTGAAGCGGACCGGCAACGAATGCGTCACCAAGCGGATAAGCTCCCCGAAGACGACACATCACAAACACGGCGAATGAAGAGGGTGACCAGGCGGTGCACGAGGAGCAGGTTGAAGACAGAGCTGCCAGCCATGGCTTTTTGGACGCAGGACCGGGCAGTGGAGCCCCAGCCCTGCCCCGGGGGCTCAGCTCCCTGAGCCGAGGGGTGCTTGAACCCGGACGGCTTTGAGGGAACCCTTTTCACCTTGGTTTAAAGGGAAGGCCACAGGAAACAACCGAAGCCATGGTGGGTGGTCCATATCCAATCTTGAATGGGGATTGATCCAATGGTCCTTTACATGGGTGATTATTCAGGAAAATCCCTGAAAAAAGGCCGTTCCCTAACAAGCTGGAAAAAATCCCCTTGGTCATTTGCGGGAACGACCCCCACATACCCATTTCATTCTTTTGGGTCCGAACTGAAACATCTCGAACAAAGGCCAAAGACCGCAGCACCGAGCGCCTAGAGCTGCAAAGCCAACCTCTCCTCAGTCGGCAGCAGACCTGCCTGGCGCAGATGGATTGGCGCCAAGGGGGAGATGGTTTCCCATTCGCCCTCTGCAAGAACCAGAAGTTCAAATCCCCAACTGACAAACCATCAAGTAAGGGCTACCTGTTCAAATTAGCATCAAAAAACATCAGACCAACCCTTTCTGGATGTAAAACACGTGGGACCTGTTCAGTTCGTTCCAACCATGGCGTCTGTCGGGGCCCGCCCTAAGAAGACGTTCCAACGCTGGACGAAAACATGCACATCGAACCTAGATGACTCCGCAATACTCCGAACAAGGCGTTCGCTGCTCTCTATCTCCTGCGAAGAATTTGTTTGATCAACCGTGCTCCGTAAACCGCTTGTTCACAATTTGACCCGCCGCGAAACTTACCGCGTATTCCATGGTCTTGGCCCAACCGAACGGCACACAGCGCACCCTGCAACATCAAGGTGTTGGCCTTGTCCGGTTCCACAGGTTGTGCGCCAAACAATTGATCGAACCATGACAGACAAAGAAAACAAACAAAAGGGAAAGCGAAAGCGGCGGCGAAAGAGAAAGAGTAAGAGAGAAGAATGAAGAAAGAGGAAACCATGGCACGACAAGAAGCGCGCGGCTCGCGAAGGGCTCCTTCTGAAAGGCTTGCAAAACGCGGTATGCCACGGGTACTTGTGAAGCGCATCCCCCGTTGTTGGAAGATTGTGGTTATAACGCAGAGAGAAGAACTTGGCAATTTTGTTGCGCTTGTCCGGAAAACTGTCCTGGCCTTCCGAGAGCGCTGCGGCTGCCACGAGACCTGCGCCTGGCCTTACTCTGAAAGTACTGACACGAAATCTGTACCCGACCTTGCCAAAGTGCTGCGCCAGCCACGAAAGCTGCACCGGAGCTTGCGAAAAAGTGTTCTAACCAGCCAATTTGTCGAGGTCTAAGCGCAGACTAAAAGAGGTGTGCATGAGGTCCACAGAGTGGCCCTGGCCAGCACGGGCCTGCTGGGATAGTCTATTACTAGGGGCGTTTGTGTGTGGACTGAGCGCGCTGGTACTGGCACACATCTGAACGACACGAGGAACCCAACTCCCACGTGTCTAGCTGACTTGACGCTGTCAATCTCTTGAGCAGAGGCAGTGTGTCATTGTGCTTGTGACGGGAACTGCCCTCAGCAATCAACAGCGCCTCGCCAAACACCCTTCAAGGTATCCGGGCCGCAGTCCAACGTTTCGTGTTGCATCACGTTGCCATGGCAAACCTAGAGCGCCAGCTCAGGCGCTAAACCCCCTTTGGCCGCACAGGAAGCCGCAAGCAAAGCCAACCAGGCGCAAAACACCTCTTAGTTTCCCAGTTGCAAAGCTCAGTGAACCAGTTGCTTGCCTGCAATGCCCTCAGGGCGCTGTCGCCCCAGCGGCAAAGCGGTACCTGAAACTCACGGTAGCACTCTCGGAGCCCCTGGGATCGGGTCGCCTTTCGGTGAGAAACGATTTGGCCAACAGTCAAATGGGTATGATGGTCAAAAACTAAGCCACCAGGGCACCGCCGGTTTTGGTCGTTTCCACTTGCCAGGCGTCCATTTGGGCGACATATTTTTGGCCAGCCAAACGGCCGCGTGGTCTTGGGAGAGTAATTCAACTGAAGGAGTTCGTGGCACCCGACCCCCAAGGGCGATTTATGACAACTCAACCGCGGGCGCATGGCCAGAAAACTCCAGAGCCCACTGCGCAAAGCGCTGCAGCGGCCCAGACCTGTGGCAGAGGTGGCAGAGGCTCGGATCCGTTTGGGCCACCAACCCCCCATTCCCCTTTTGCTTAAGTTCACTGGAAAAAACATCTTTCCAGCTTTCATAGATCCCCTTTAAAACCAACAGGGGAATTTCAACATATTCTTAAGCAAATGGAAGCTTGAATACTTGGCCTGGCTTTACTTGCGCTTCGTTCTTCTGTGATGTTCGACCCATGTTGGAGAGTCAGATTCCTATTTGGACACTTGCGGCTGCACCAGCTCCAAGATTTGAGGCAAAGAACTAATTAGTTAACCCTTGGCCCGCTATAGACTTCCTTTTCTGACTTTACCCCGGAGGAAACTTACTTTGAAGTGGCCTACACAAATGCTTAGATAAAGCCCCTAGTAGGATGTGTGCCAGTACAGACCCCGACGTGTGCTGGTCCAGTTTAAAGGTTCTTAATTGAGGCCCTGTGTGCTTGCCACACAATCATTACTCAACATTGGCACTTTGCTCGGGAATCAAGGCGTACCACTCATGCCGAAGATGATGTACTCCATGATGTATGGTTCATCTTGAAGCATGAGTGCCTGTGCAACTCTGGGCGATTTCAATTTAAAGGTTCTGCAAAGCGCGCATGGCACGTTGCAAGCATTGATGATAATCATGGTGAGTCTCAGTCTGTGTCGGTGGGTGAGACACCTTGGATTAGTGATTAGAGAGTTGACAATCACCAACGAGCTTGCCATTCAGGGACCACGCGGGTAAGTTTTTGTTGAGGGCTATTTTTTGGATTGCGCTTCAAGGAAACCAAATAGGACACACACACAATTTGGAGGTACTCACAATGAAAACAATGGTTCTAAGAGAAGCCACCCATTGTGGTCATGTGTTTCTGCAACAAATCACGCGTTCTCGCGGCGCAAGGCAAAGGACATTGCCCGCTTTCAGGTCTCGTAGTCTGTTGGGGGGCCAAGAGATGCCCGGGCAGACGACAGGCCCTCAGAGTCAAGAGCAGCGGGCGCACAGGCTCGTGCGTCCTAGCTGCCCGAAATTTCAGCGGGGCGCCCAGTCGGCGCGCCGTTCTGCGTGTCCGGAAAGATGCAGAGGGCCTTCCAAAGTGGGCGGCTGCTGGCCGCACGGTCGAGGTGTGGCGGACTGCATCGCCGATGCCCCAAGCAAGGTGGCACCGGTGCAGGAGCTCGCAGGAGGCATTCGTGGGGCCCACTGACCGGGCAAGAACCGACCAAAAGCAGCGGGCGCAATGGAGCAAACGCCCTGCCTGCGAGGTGACCTTCGCGGCGTGGCATTCACAAAACCACCCCCAAAAAAACTATACCCCAAAAAGAGACCTCGATAGGGACGTGGCTTTTCAAACAACCACCTCAAAGAAAGGTACCCCCTCCGTATGATGGACACTTAGGGTCTATGTTGCAACCTTCTTCATTTACGCATTGTTTTTCTTCATGTTCCAGGCTGCAAACTAAACTCTCAGAGTCCATGGCACCTCCCCCCTCCCCCCTAAAACAAAAACACACACACAAAAACAAACAAACTGGTTTTGAGACCTTCTCTCCCCCTTGCCTGAAGGCCGCCAGCTGCAGCACCATGAGCCGCGAGGAGAGCCCAGTTTCTGGACCTCGCCAGCAGGTGGAACATGGGCGTGGCTTTAAATTATAGGGTTATGCAGGATTTAGTCTTTGGTTCCATTTACCAAGGTGTCATTTTGGTACATTTGTTTGAGCCACAGCCACATCTCCATGAAGAAGTTCCAAGGAGAGTACCACGAAAGCGCGCCCTGGAAGAAAAAAACAAAAGGCCTATGAATGTGTTGGCACCAGGGGCTGTGGGTGACGTGGAAGTTCCGCCAAGATTTCTCGGAGGAACGGTCTCTATCACAAATAATTCCCCAGTGAGTTTTTTACCCGGAACCCACTAAGTCACTACTAGGCTCCGGCGTCCCAAGGACCAGCTTCCAAGCAACACGGGATGCCAAAGGCCGCAAGAAAATGCTCCGACTCACCCCGAGCCACGCGAAGCGAAGAGATCGAGGAAAAAGCGACTCTGGGCTCAGCGCTGCCTTCGACGGCCTCCCCCCTGGCGCAAACTCACACGGACCCCAAAAGCGAAGTTGCACCCGCCCCTCAAAAGGAGATTCCTCTTGGAGGGGCTTTGGAGGTTCCATGTGGGCGGTTTGCATCCATGGTGGCCACAGGTTGTTAGAAAAAGCAGAAGCGTCACTGCAGTTTGTAATTTTCGCAGACAGCACCCGTGTTGATGTGCACTGCACATAGGTGTCCTTTTGAAAAATAGATGGCCCTGGTAAATGGAATAAAACCCATCTACATCAGTGCCTTCTATTTTTCACCACACTAACCTAAAAGGACACCTATGACACTGCATGTAAGGGAGCAGCAAGTTCCCTACCAGGCAAGCATCACCCGGCCGATCTGTGAGGCAACATCCATCTGTGTTGCTGAACTGGACAAACTTCAGCTGTCTTCAACCAGCAAGGCCTGAGTTTGCTGGCAAACCCTGGCATGCGCATCTGAAAAAAGGGTGGCAAAGGTCCAGCACCGAAAAACACCACATCGAGTTTAACCTGCCTGCCTTTCTGGTTTAGCAAAGCCAGCGAGTAGGCCACAAGGAGGGGGTTTCCCATGTACCTTCCACAAGAACCAGGGGTTCGAATCCCAAACAACCAATCCAAACCACAAATTGGATAAAAACTGATATAGCACAACCACCAGGCCAGAAGCAACAAGCAAACAGGACTTATCCAATCATTCTGACGTGGACATTGACAACTTGGCTCTGGAGCGCCCCACCGAAGGCGTGGTGTCGCTCATAGAACATGCCTGGAACAAATAAATGTGGAAGAGCTTGCCTCCAAAGGCCTTTGCCGTTTGACATTCTCCGCTCAGCTCGCCCCTGGCCTCGCACGCTCAGCCTCCCTGAAAAGCAAGAAGAGGTTCTTCAGCACCGGGGCAGCTTTGGCCCTTTCTGACAGGAACCCCAGCGAGGCGCCTAGGCACTTGGCCCGCGACAGAGCGCCCAACGAAGGCGCAATGAAGGTGCTTCATGGGAGATCCTCAAACTTCGTGGTGGTTGGGCTTTGCTTTCATCCAGTTGGCAACCGCTTCTCTTCGCAGCCCAGCGGTACGTCAAAACTTCAAAATTAGGTGAAGCAAACTCATGAGTAGAAGCACTACCAGCCTTGCATCTCTGTTCTTTCTGCCCATGGATTGTGATACTGTGGATGGACAAAATCCTGCACCACTTTGAAACCATGGGAAACTATTGTTTGTTGGTATTTACGGGGGAATCACCATTCAAGGGTTTCTTAGGTGGTGCAGGAATTCGTCCATCCACCGTAGTGCTTCCCTTTGGCCAGTTGCAGCACTGTGAACCAGTCAAGGTGCTCGGCAGTCAGTGCCCCCTTTCTGGCTGGACTCTTCATACCAGTTCCCTAAATCAAGATCGAGAGTTGCGCGGGACCGTAACAATGGGTGGCTTTCCTTCTAGTTTCCTTTTAAGCCAACCTGGAAAGGTTGCTTTAAACGAAAACAAAAGCACCACCAAGAAAAATAACCAGAGTTTGTTATCTCTAAGCTTTACATGGCTTCCCCTGGTTGTCTATGGTGCTACCCAAATGGAAGCTTTTTAAATTTTGTGGCAACCCAATGCCTGCAACGTTCAACCCCAAAGCTGGGATCCGTTTGGTGTCATTCATCGCTTTGGTCAAAGGTGGTTTCAAATGTTTACCTAAACATCCCCCTTTTGACTCCCTCAAAGTTGTAACAAAACTTGCTCAACCCTGGCCCTCGACACGCCTTTTCATACCGTGGATGGACAAAATCCAAAAGTCGACCCACTGTTCCCAAAGGGTTCCATTGGCTGTAGGCTTCACAGGGCTCCTCCCGCCTTTCCGATCCGGGTTCCCTAACAAACCCTCAAAGAAGCAGCAGCCAAAAGCCGGGCACTTCGTGGTTTATCTCGGCCTTGCAATGATTCCTTACACAGGGTCGTAGAACCTGCTAAACATGGCCATGGGCTTGGGGCGCTATGTCGAAGACGCCATCGTCGCAAGTGAGTTTCCCGCACTTTGTAACAGGGTAGAACAATGCAAATGAGTTCCCCTTGTTGATGATCTTGCGGGTCCATCCCACGGCAATCCTGATTGATGGCAGTAGAAAACAAGTAGGTGAATGCGACGGTTCAAAATGAGAGCAGATTGATAGGCAAACAACCAGTCCAAACCACCGATCAATGAATCATCATTCATCGGCCTGACTTGATTAGAACTTTCGTGGCTCCCCCCCCCACACACCACCCAGAAATCGTTTGCCTCTTGAATCAGATCTTTCCCTTGACCTTGGGCCTCGCTGGCTGAACAAAAGAGCGACATTCTAGTAATGAGTTTCCCATCCACAGCTGCCAAAATTCAAGAATCATGCCTGGAGTACGATTTCATGGTCTTCGATGATTCTTCAGGCACGTGCACGTATCCCCCGTCACAAGCCGCAATGCACGGAGTGAGAGCGTTTAACCAGCCTGCCGCTATGGGATATGCGCCCATGCTTTCCACGGAAGAAGCTCGAAACCTGCCCCAAGGTGATTTGGACAAACGAACAAGTGGAGAGAGAGCGAGGAATATGGGGGGATTCCCTTGGCGCCATTTCCCTTTAGGGGGAATCCTCCCATATCCCCGGTTCCCCCTGTATCCCTGCTAGTTGGTTTTCCTGAGTGATGTTTAAAAACACCCAAAGGAAAAATTTAGGGAGCCCAGAGAACATAGGTGTCCTTTTAGGGGGGCGCCATCCATTTTTTGACCAACACCACCCAAAAAAAACACCTACTGTGGATGGACCAAATGCTGCACCACCTAAGAAACCATGACAAACCATTGTTTGTTGGTATTTTTAGAGGGGAATAATCCTTTTTAGGTTTCTTTAGGTGGTGCCTAAGAGGATTTCGCAACCATCCAGTCTGCCCAGGGACTCCCTTCGGCCTTTTCCAGCAAAACCGGCTGAGCTCTGGGCTCGCCGAGGACGTCTCCCTCACAAGGTCTCGCTCGAACGGGACGGGGAAGACCATGTCCGCATCCAGCCACATAAGCCAATCCTGGGCTGCCCGTTTTCTGATCCCCCGCGAAAAGTGACTAACTTTTAGTGGGTTAAATGGAAACTACCACTAAACACTAAAAGGCTAAAAGGCTAAGGGGATGGCTGGGAGCCACCAAGAATCCTGAACGGCGGAATCATGGGGTGCCCGGTCTACTGGGTTTCGTTGAGATGGTACACACATGGGTGTGGCTCAAAATTCAAGAGCCAGGGCAAACCGCAGGTGATTGTCCTTTGAATCCGGGAAAAAACGAACCCGTTGCAGGTGTCCCCTGGCTACAGTTTGCCATTTTGTCAGGGTTTGCCCCCGCTAGAGGCCCCCCAATCTTTTCAGAAGGCAAACCTGACCGATGGATCCAAGCAGGTGCCTTGGAACTGGTTGCCTTGAACCAGCAAGCAACTCGGAAGGAGACCCTGGGAAAATTGATCGCAACTGAAAGGGGTGGCCGCAAAAATACATAAAACATCCTTTCGCTTTACCTAAACCAGTCTGGAAAGGATCGAATCACACCACCCACACACAAACATCCAAAGGGAGTTGTGACAATCTCTGATGACAACTTGCTGTGACAAGCTCCGGCACCACAAACATTCGGAACCCATCAGTCTGCGTACAAGGGTTCAAACATTCCTCTCTCCCAAAACGACCATGTTTACGAGAGAAACAGGTTACTTTTGTGAAGATTTGCGTATGTGGCAAAAAATATTTGGACCTCACAAATGGTGGTTTTCCTTTTGCCTTGCCTTCAAACCAAGGTGCAAAGGGTACCCTCCAAACAGCACACACCCAAATCAGCGATGCCATCGTTCGCCGGGCACTTACAAAGCAAAGCGCAAAAACGCGAGGCGCAACCTTTCGACTGGTGGTTCGGATAGCCTGTCTTTTGTTCAATTCCATTCAATGTGTCTGACAATGTCTGACACGCACACAGTCACACGCACAGTCACTCTAAGGGGGGGGCCGCCCCCACACAATGGGTCCTTTCGGCAACACAAGGAACTGCCTCCCCCAGTCCAGCTTGGGCCGGACCTAAAATCCTTTTCGGGAAACGCGAGAGCGCGAAGTCCGCGCTAAGAATGAACTTGAACATACTTGAACCATGCGCTGCCTCATGGTCAGTAACAAAAAAAACAAAACGCAAAAGTCGCTCAACGCAAGCTGCGCGGATTGAAACGCGGATTGAAACGCGATATTCTTTTGTCCGGCGCCCGAAGATGCCGAGTGCTGGTCAAGACGGACTTCCTGTTTATCTCCTTGCATCAAAGGTGCATAGCTTTCGATGGACGGCTCCTCGATGACCCAGGCAAACTTAAACCTGGCGGGAATGAAGCTTCTTTGACGTGGTGAATGGACTTCTTCCTGCATAGCTTTCCCAAGCAGTGTTCTCTGGGCAATCATCTAACTAGGCGGAGGCCCCACTACCTCATCAGGCGAAGGCCGTGGCGCAGTCTGATCCTGATAACACTGTTGTGGTGCAAACTCGTCGACTTGCGCAACCTCGACTCCTTTGCTGCGTTGTTCAATATGAAGCATCCCAACTCCTAATCCACAATCCATAGTGCAACACCACAACAAGGGAAACGACTGGGGTTGGTGGATTGATCTGGAACAATCCAGTGTGCGATTGATTGACAACAAAACGTATCCAAGCGTCGCTCTTGAATGCCATGGCGGTCCTTTACATATATGGTCCTGTCAGAATCCCCCCTTTCTTTGAACAAGAATGAAACATCTACGGTGGCGCTTACAGTACCTGGCCATGAACCCTCACACGCGCACGCGCCTCACCGACAAAATTCAACGTCATGCTTACTTCAAAGCCAGTCGAAGCCAGCAGCCTGCTTTATCAGGATGCGCAAAGTTCACGACCAGCTGCAAAGGGAACTGATTAGCAGAGCCCCGCATATCTGTGCGTGACTAAGTGCAAATACATGCCTATAATATGAATGTCTTCAAATCACACAAGCGAACGCCCAGGCAATTGAAACAGAGGCATGCGAAGCCAGACAGGCCGGTCGAGAGCCAACGCACAGCAGTTTACCTCCAAACCCTGAATGCGGGTTTTACCAAATGCATCAATGATTGACGTAAAGGCTAACGCTTAACCAAGTGGACCGTACAGGACTCTGGACTCTGTGCCTGGCATCGCAAAACAAATTTACAAACCACCAAACATTTGGCTGTGGTCAAAAATCAGTGCCCAAAATGGAACCCCGGTTTCTGGAAATAAGGACTAAACCAGCGGTCTAGCTAGTGGTTTAATTTTGACCCATGCCCATTTGGTCACCGGCCTGCAGTGCAGGGCCTCGTCGTGCTTCTCTTTGTAGATCTTTCTGGGCCGCCGAAGCAAGGGCCCCAGGTGGCTAAACCAGACCTCGGCCAGGCGTGCCGCGTGCCGCGTGCCGGCTCGGATTCTTGTGCCAAGGTGAGTCAGATATCGCAGGCCACCATCAGTTGGGTATGGGTCAAAATTAAACCACCAGGAATTGGACCGCAGGTTTTCCATGCTTCCATTTACCAGGAAGATCAAGCACCTGCCAAATCTCCCGAAGGAATGGACAGCTTTGGACATGAAGCAGCGACCACTTCGTAAGTCAAACTACGATGATCTGTCAAGTGGCGCCTTGGGCTGGAAAAGGCAATGAGCTGACTCCTCAAACCCAAGCAGACCACTTCTTGAGGGCTTCACAAAAAACATGAGCTGCGCGCTGTTCTGCGTGCTTCATCAAATAGGCATAACAAGCCGGTCATCCCTTCTGATTTCAGTGAGTGTCAAAATCGGCTGGCCCTCCAGTGTCCTTCCCCAATTGTAGATTGGTGCGTTATTATGTTTTTTTCAATTTGAAGATATTTCTTCCGGCCAGATGACAGAATTAAAACCTGCAGAAACCCGGGAAAGGGATTTTTTCCAAGGACCCAAGCCCAGGGCCCATGTTGACAAATTCATGCACTAAACCCGAAAGATGACTTTAAGGACCCAGTTCCCTCCGTTTTCTCACGCCGCCCTTCCCTTCGCGCCCAGTGGCGCGGTTAGGCGAGGCCTGGCGCAGCTGGGAGGCCTCGCTGCGGGAGAGGCCCTGGTGGAAGATGAGGATGGGCCGGTCCAGCTGGTGGTTGAAACTTTCCTCGGCAGCTACAGCCATGGGATCAAAATCGGCCGCAGAGGGCTTGAGGCTCCTCCAGATTTGAGAGAAGAAGTTGGCACCAACTTTTGTTCTGTAGTCGATTTGTCTGTCTATCTTTTGAGGATCCAACAAAAAAGTTGAAGTTCCAGGAACTCCAGGAAAAAAAGAGCTGAGTGACACAACAGTCTTATGACGTGACATCTTCCTGATACCCGATGGAAGTCGACTGGAATCTCCTGGAAAAAACGAGGTTCCTCTGCAAGAGAGCCTTTGGTGGAAAACCATGTTGCTGGACGGGAGTGCAGCCATTTCAATTCAGCAAACTCTGCTTCCCCAAACTCTGCTTCTTGCAAGCTCTGGCGAGTGTCCGACTCCAAGGCGAGCATTTCCTTCGCTACGGTTGAGAGTCACAATCGCTGCCAGGCCTCGATGTGCATCAAGTTCATTAGCGACCTCATCCTCCAACCCATGGAAGGACAACCAATCGGAAAAGGTCTTTGTTCCTCTCATGAAGCCACGTGCTTCTCCCGGGAAGCAAAAAAAAAAACTTCGGGCCTCGGCCTCGGAAGCCCATCTTTCGGCCCGAGGAAGTCCGGCCTTTTACACCGGTGCGCGAGCTCGAAGATCTTTCACTGCGCTTTCGCTATTGAACGCAGCTCCAGGAAATCCAGCAAGAGAGCCAGCTGGCATTTCAGGTTTCAAAACCTTTGAGTCGTAGAGTCTACATAGAGTCTGCTATCGCTTTTTGTTGTACTCGTATCGGGTCGGCAAAGAACAAGCCAGGGCACAAAGCAACAAAAGGGGACCATCCCTACAGTTCTTAGGCGCCAGGTGGCAAATGGTCCGATTTCCCGCCGCCCGTTTTCTGCCCTGGCACTCCCTCTACCCCAAACAAAACGATGCGGCGCCCCTCATCACCTAATCTTAACCCCGGATTAACACACCCCTGGCTGACTAATAGGGGTGTCCCCTTATAGTGGGGATTCAGACCACTTTTGGAGGCAGCACCCCCCCAAAAAATGGGACGGGTTCTACTTGGATCCTGGGTCAACCTTAGCTCCGGGCCAAGGGTCCCACCAGTTGTGCAGGTTCTGCCGCAGCATCTCCATTCCGCCAGGCGCATGAGACAGCCGCGTGGCGATGAGCACTCCTGGGAAGGGGGGAAACGGGCGGTACGGGCGGTAGCTGAGGAACATCGTGGAAATCGGACAACTGAGACCCGCAAAACGCAGGAGGCCATCCTAAAAAACATGACCATGCCTGATAACGCAACAAACAATACTCAACAAACTCAGAGCCATGTCCATTCTGTAATGGCAGAATATTCGATTTGCTTGTTGACATTGCCAGTCACGATCTGGCCGGCGGTGACCAACTGGACAAGCAGGACCCAAGAGGCCAACCGGACATTCGCAAGCTGGTGCCATGCGTCCTCCCTCAAAAACATATCGCCTGTCGGACTCTGACGCCCTGCAACTTGCGCATGTACCTCCCTCAAAGTCTTCTGATTCCCACCAATATATAGCACCTGTGGGTGGGGTACCTCTGGTTCTCAAAAATATATAGCACCTGTGGGGTACCGGATCCGTTTCCTCAAGGGACCTGTGTTGCCAGCTTGCCAGCTCCTTGTGGCTCATCTTGGCGGTCTCCTAAGTCCTCCTTGTCACACAAGGCATCGCGCCAAGGCGGGAAGCACTCGCAGAATCCGTCCTGGCCGACTTCGAAGCGTTGGAAAAAACCGCGGGACTTTGGAGCATTCCTTGATCTTCCAGCCCTGGAAAAGCAGGCTGCTAAGGAATTTTCAAATTTGGAGCCAAGATCAAAATTAAGAAGGACCCTGGTCTCGCGGGTCCTTGGAAGACCAAGGATTGGACAAAACGCGGGTTGTCTTGCTTCCCAGAAACTTCTGGCTTCGGCTTTCAATGGAAGACCCGACCCCTCCATTTGACACCCCGCTTCGGTGTTTGGGGTTCTCAAAACCTAGCTGTTTGAGGCCCCATGAAAAACATCGAATTGGAGCCTCTGGGTTGAGAGACCCTTCTGGTTGGGTCTGACAGGGAAACCAAAGGAAAACACAAAAAAATTGGGGGGCCGCCCATTTTTAAGACATCTGGTGACGCATGATGGACAAGGAAATGGTGGGATGCTGGGACTAATAAGAAAGAGGATCTCATTCTCTATGTGCAACACCGAGGATCACGGAGACATGCACGAGCTTCATTGCATTTGGTAGGACCTGCATGAATTCATCGTTTGCCACAAACAGAACTCAGCATCTCGTCGCTGTTTGATGACCAGGCACCCAAGAGTCCTTACATCCGAAGGCATGTGACTAAAAGGACACTTGCACAAGTCCGGGCTGTTCACAATGCAGGGTTAGCCAGTCCAAATCCAGTATCCATTTTGCCGGAACCTACAATTTGCTTGGTGCTTGACTTTTAAGCAAACCCCTCCACTAAATAAGCAGAAGGGAAGTCCACCTCCCACTAGAGGGAGGTAAGAATACATTTGGGTATGTGAAACTTGGGAGGCTTAAAGTTTGTGTTCCTTTTTGCTTCCCCTTCAACTAAGGTAAAACGGGTGCCCTTACGTACCCTCAAAAGAACGTACACCCATCACCAGTGAAATCAAACAGGCTGGAGGCCCGGAAGTTCAGGGGTCCATGGCCCGAACAAGGCGAATCCTCCATGGCGTACATGATTTTTGGGCACGCCGTTTTGGGGGTGCTTGCCTCACTTGCTGAGTGGATGGCCCAAAAAAAGTCCAGACTTTATATTTACCACTAAAATGGTCCAAACCCAAAAAGTTTGAAGTTCATGAACTCAGGAAGTGAGTTGAAGAAGAAACCACAAAGAACAAGATGCACCCAGGTTCGAGGGCCCAATTTTGACCCGGTGCCCCATGTTCGAGGCAGAACTTGGTATCAGAGAAGCCCAGCCCCCAGTGGCAGAGGAAAACACAAAACCGATCTTTTAACCCCCCCCAAGGAAACCGAAAACGACTCGCAACCCACCTTTTCAGGGGTCGCCGAATTTGGGGCCCCACCTTTTTCTCTGGGCACGTCACCTTAGGGAGGCGTCCGGTTTTGGGCTGCCCGGTACCCACCCAAACCCCTCAAAACGTAAGCGCCCCTTAATCTAGGGCTTGCTTCCTTTTCCATTCTGTTCAACCACCGTTCTTTTCCAAACCCAGCCATTCTCCCTGGGTTTCTGGAGGTTTTCTAGAAAGAAGGATTCCCGGAAAGAATGGAAATGGGGAAGGTAGCCCAACGACTTCAACCAATTTTCGCCGCCCCGGGCGCCCCCGCAGCCCCCGCAGCCGGCCCCTCCTCCAGGAAGCAGCGGCCCCGGCCCCGCAGCATCTGCCCGCGGCCCGGGGTCATAGGCAGCGTCGCGGGCTCCAGGTTCAGCTGCCCCGCGTGGCCACCGCACCTCACCTGACTCGTTGCTGCAACGACCCCAACTTTTGAAAAGGGTCAGTGGAAAACCCAGCAAAAAGGTGAGTTTCACTTTTTTGGGGGGGTTGAGCTCGGAAAACCCAACTTGAAATCAAACCAAAAATATGAAAGTCTAAAGATCCGTTGCCCAATAGCAGTCAAGGACTCGTTCCCCTCCACTCGACTCGTCATCAACATAGGCGCCATGGCGCGCTTTTCGGGGAAATCGATGGGTTTCCCTGGTAGATGATGAAACCACCAGGTAGACCAGAAATCGCCGTCTACTTTTTCGACCAAAACAACCAAAAAGGACACCTATGGTCATCAAAACCTGGTACCACAAAATGGCGAACCCAGAAGCAAGCTTCAAGAATTGAAACGGCGGATGCCCGCACCCGATTGTCCCCCTACCCTCCAATTACCCAGGTTCTGATTGCGACTCACCTGACTCCACTAGCAATTGGCACATGGAACAGGAATTGATGGAGAGAGTTTGGTACAAGAGAGGTAAACAGTAACCCCAGAATAATGATACGATGGTTCTCTTTCTACCTCTCTCCGCTAATCAATAAACATTGGATTTCCAAACAGTATGAAAAGCCAACAGATAATGGCAAAATGGCATGTCTTTCTCTACCCACTCTACCGTCTGCAAAGGTCATCCCTTCCACATGCATTTCCCAGCAACATTTGTCCACAAGCAAGACACCCATGCCATGAATACTAAACACAACTATGAAAGTAAGGTGAAATGAGCAAAACACGATGCTCATCATAAGCAGGGTCAGCATACTCAACATGATATAAGAACACCGTCTCTAGAAACATATATCGACTATTGACTGCCAAGGCCGAACTCATTCAAAAAATATTCCATCTCTCATTAACACGCACTCATTTCCTTTATTGTAGTACGGGGGGGGCTTGTGTTGGGTTCTTTTTTGGGGGTTCGCCTCTTTTGCGGGCCCAAAAAAAGCCATGAGAGAACTGGCCATTTCCGCCCCCCTCCCCCCTCATTTTGCCCGGATTGGCGCCTCCTTGTACAGCTCCTTATTCTGCACTCCCCGCCTGAGCCATTCGATGCCAGGCGCAAAAATGCGAGGCGCGAGGCGGCGAGGGGGAGCTGGTGGGTTGCTTTGGTTAGCTTCAGGATTGCCAGAAGGGAGGGGAGCATCTGATTGCCAAATGGGAGGGCACGAGTACCTGAATTTTTACACCAGATTCTGAGAATATTTCAGGGATTGAAATGTTTTTTTTATGCAGCCAACTTGTCAACACCCCTTTGGAAACGTGTCAGATTCAATGACTTCAGCTTGCTCAAGGGGCTACCTGTCCAGCCAATATAGTTCGAGCCGCCACCATTACAAGAGCTAGGTAGGGTCGTAGTTTTCGGTTGCAAGTGGGTTCTTAGGTTTCTCTAACTTCAGAAACTTCAGGCTGCCAGCGCAACGAAGTCATGTGAACCATGTCCAAAACGTGTCATGACTCGCTATGTCATGTCGTGTCGCCATCACCTTATGAAATTGCTTGCGCGCACCTTACACAACCCACGCTTTGTCTTACGCGCCGACGCATGAGGCCTGACGCGACGCTTACGCCTGGAACGCCACGTAGCATTACTGGAAAGCTGGCTTATGAGATGTCGGTTCCTTTCCAAGTGTACTGTAGCTTTAGCAACTCCAGCTCGAGTGCAGGACACGAAGTGCACAAGGAGGCAAGAACCACCATGAGCCGCTACTCGGAAACAAGGCAAGCGCCTCCTTACGCACCTTTGGCGTGCCTGACAATGTGCCAAATTGAAGGTTTGTTGGCTTCTGTGAAGTACATGACTACCAAGCAGGTCTTCACCACAGTCTGCGCAAAGGAAACAACCTGCTCTTGAATATGTTTGACATTGCGCAATCTCAATAAGCTAGTGCAATCAAAGCGCGTTGACATGCACAAATGATGACTGAAAAAAACTTGCGCGCCATGCTTACGCGTCATGCTTCTCTCGATATTTGCTTACGCCGCCTGAGGCCAGTGGAGCATTTGCTTGCGCAACAGGTCGTTGTGACATTGCCCTTGTTGAGCATGTACACCAAGGTTTTAGAGGTTTCTCATGTGGCAGGGTCTTATGTCTTAAAAGGTGCAGATTTCGCAGCGGGCGCAACGCTTTCGTGAGGCCAGGTACAGATTTTGTGGACCGCGCAGTGCTTTCGCGGGTCAGTGACGGTCAGGTACAATTTGTGACAAGCGCGCCGCAGCACTCTCAGAGCACTGCAGACAAATAAATACAAAGAACGCTACCGGAATGAGAAACACATTGAGAGAGCGAAAGGGAAAAAGAGAAAAGGAAAAAGGATAAACAAAAGAAACAAAGAGACAAAGAGACATATAAAACCGAAGATTAAGGGAACCTGCTATGTCCCCTTTAGTTTTTTGAAAGGGCGGCTCCCTTGGTTCAGGAAAATGACATGAAATCCCTGGAACATGCTCGGCCTAAGCTCGCAACTCGTGGTCGCTTAGCAGCCGAAAGGCCGAACCGAAACGAAAAACCCAACTTGTTCTTTGAGTTTACTCCTTTTGCTCCTAAAGGAAAACCATCAGCAAATGTGCACAAGGGAGACCAACTCTCTTCCTGAGTGTCCAAACTTTGTAACTTGCCACCAAAATGGCCTTCCCAAAAAGTGACAAAAGTCCGTGAGGTGAGCCAAAGGGCAACCGAACCAACCGGGACCAAACCAAGCGCGGGATCCTCGGGTCCCGGCATGGCCGCCAGCGGCAGCCGCGGCACGTTGCTGTCCAGCAGCTTCTGGCAGGGCCAATCGGCGCCACCTGCGAAGCGCCGACGTCGAGGTAAAACGTGGGTGACCGCGGAGGTTGTCTTCAAGAACTGGGCGACTGGGGTTTGAGGGGAGCAAACGGAGATTGTTTTTCAACAGGAAGGGTTCTGGGTTGCTGGCCTGGGGAAGCACGAAGTTCTTTGAGCAAGGTGTGAACCCTGATTGAAGACTACCAAAGGTTGGCATAGAAACAAATCAGGCAGCCCTTGGGCCAAGACTCCACTTCAGGGCTCCGAGAACACAACGGCGTTCCTCCGGGAAGATGCACCCCTGATTTTGAGTCCATACCTGGGGGTTATCCCGAAAAAGGCACTCAAGTGCACGGTGCCTGAAGCCCAGGTTCCATTTTGGGGGAACTCAACTCCCCCCTGAGGTGGATTCTGCCTCCACTGTACCTTGGCAAGGGTCAAAACATGGCTCAGCCCTTTGCTCAGGTAAAGGGTCACAGAAATTGAAAGCTTCACGAAACCCAACATCCCCAAAACCCTGCCGGTGGCAACACTGAAACGAAGGGTCCCTTGCCAGGATCGTGGGCATGGCGGGGAAACTGTACATTCTTCTGCGGTTGCCAGATGAACCAGGCAAACCGTGGTCGCTGTGCAACCTGCGAGCTCGGTCCACAATCTTCTGCCAGCCCTTCATTTGCTGTGATCGGCGCTTTGGTGTTTCGTTTGGCCTCCTGTCAGAGGCAGACTACAAGCAAATCGACCACATCGCCCTTTGCTGCCTGAAAACTAAAAAGTTCTAGGGGTTGATTCCCCATTCTTTTCAACCATCCTTCTTTTCGAAATCCAGCCGTTTTCCCTGGGTTTCTGGAGGTTTTCTAGAGAGAAGGATCCCTGGAAAGAATGGGGAAGGTATCCCTAGAAAAGTAGCTGGGTTTCTCAGAACATCGGCAGTCCATGAGTTGGGTGCTGTTGGCCGTGCTCCGTACAGGGGATCAGTTTTCCGCATCGCGCCGTCGGCACACATCAAACGAGGGACTGTCCTGTAAGGCAAAGACGTCATCCCCAGGGGAAGTCGTGCAACATGTTACCCTGAAGCCGGAAGGCTGTGGTCAATGCATTGGCAATCTCGACAACCCCGAGGTCAAACCAATCCTGCCGCCGGATTAATCAACAGCTGTGTAATCATTCACAAATCCGGGAATAACCCATGGCAGACCAAACCAATCAAACAAAACCAAACCAAATCAAGCAACACCAAACGCGCATTCCCACAAGCTTCTCACCTCTGACCACTCCCATGCAGCCCGCCCAGCCTAGAGCTGCAGCCTCTTGCACGACCTTCTCTCCTCAGAGGGCGCGATATCCTTCGCTTGGTGGATTCAGTCAGCAACTCGTGCTGGCCTTGCACGTACCGCATCGCATACACGTCGATGATTGCACTTGAAACAAGACTCATCTACAAGTATGTAGCCCCCCGTCTTGCTCCCAAACTCCGAATCGTGATTCTCCGCCTGCTTCCGAACGACACCCCCATGGCCCGAATTTCCAAGGAACCATAGAATGGAGTTGTGGGATCACATTTAGTGATAATCATAGGGGTAAACTGGGCTAATCACAATCATGAGACCCTGAAATCAACAATCAATCACTAGCCTCACACAACAAGGTAGAAATAAACATAGTAAACAGAATCATAGGTCTAATCATAACTCAGTTACTCCAAGGACTAACCTTTTGAGGGCCATGACCAAAAATTGATCAAACATGGGACACCAAAAGGTCAGATCCGGCGGATTCGCTTTGGGCAAAATAGGTGGCAAATGGATGATCATCCACCCCAAAATGGAGCCATAGGTTGTGCCCCATGGCCATAGAAGCAAAACTCTTCTTCTAAAACTCGTCCAGCTTCGCTCGAGCATATCTGGTATTGGTACTCCCTCCAACAATCATGGTATGTATACAGGGCGCTTCCCAGGAAGGAATGTAGTCTTCCCACACCCCCCGGTCATCTTGCATGATTGCTGGGAGAGTACAAACCCCTGTGTCAACTAGAGGACGATTGGCCCGAAAGCATTTTTCCACAGGTGCTCATCCAGCCGCGGAGACACCTTTTTACATCGCTGCGGCGCTGCGCGCGGCAATGCTCAGTGTGTATGGTCACATGAGAGCTCCATCTCATCATCCTACTTTCCTCTCGAACTGCGCCGCGCGATTTCTCACGAAAGTGGTCTGCGCAAGCTGCATTGTTCCAGGCTGCTGCGCGCAAGTTGCTCTCTGCAAGCTGCTGCGCGCAAGTGCTCTGTGCAAGTTGCTCTGCGCAAGTGCTCTGAGCAAGTTGCTCTGCGCAAGTGCTCTGCGCCAGTTGCTCCGCGCAAGCGCTTTGCGCATGTGCTCTGCGCAAGTTGGTCTGTGCAAGTTGCTCTGCGCCTGCTCTGTGCAAGTTGCTCTGCGCAAGTGCTCTGAGCAAGTTGCTCTGCGCAAGGGCTCTGCGCCAGTTGCTCCGTGCAAGCGCTTTGCGCATGTGCTCTGTGCAAGTTGGTCTGTGCAAGTTGCTCTGCGCAAGTGCTTTGTGCAATTGCTCTGTGCAAGTTGCTCTGCGCAAGTTGCTCTGCGCAAGTGACTCTGCGCAAGTTGCTCTGCGCAAGTGCTGCCGGAGCTGCGGGGGTGTGCTCCGCGTACTACGTTTGTACTTAAAAGTTGCGATTCTCCAGCCGGAGCTGCGGGGGTGTGCTCCGCGTACTACGTCTGTACTTAAAAGTTGCGATTTTCCAGCCTGAGCTGCGGGAGCACGCTCCGCATACTACGTCTGTACTTAAAAATTGCGATTTTCCACCCGGAGCTGCAGGAGCACGCTCCGCGTACTGCGTTTGTGCTTAAAAGTTGCGATTTTCAAGCAGCAGCTGCGGGGGTGTGCTCCGCGTACTACGTTTGTACCTAAAAGTTGCGATTTTCCAGCCTGAGCTGCGGGAGCACGCTCCGCACACTACGTCTGTACTTAAAAGTTACGATTTTCCAGCCGGAGCTGCAGGAGCACGCTCCGCGTACTACGTTTGTACTTAAAAGCTGCGATTTTCAAGCCGGAGCTGCCGCGGACCAGGGGGGAATCGAACCCGCGACCGCGGGATTGCGAAAGCAGGCGCGCAAACCACGAGACAACTTCCAAAGGCCGCTCCGCGAGCAAGAATATTGCACGGCGCCACAGCGAGAGCGCTTCGACACGCACAATCTCCGCAGAGGGTTCGCCGAGACTAAGACAAATTCGCACGGCGCCACAGCGAGAGCGCTTCGACGCGCACGATCTCCGCAGAGGGTCGCGCGCGGCCAGCAGAAATCGTAAAAAGTCCTCAGTTTTTGAACCTCGACCACGCGAATCTCCGCAGAGGGTCGCGCGCGGCCAGCAGAAATCGTAAAAAGTCCTCAGTTTTTGAACCTCGACCACGCGAATCTCCGCAGAGATTCGCGCGCGGCGAGCAGAAATCGTAAAAAGTCCTCAGCTTTTGAACCTCGACCACGCGAATCGCGTGGTCGAGGTTCAAAATCTACTTTTTACGATTTTTGGCATGCCCGCGCGACCCTCTGCGGAGATTCGCGTGGTCGAGGTTCAAAAACTGAGGACTTTTTACGATTTCTGCGGTGCGCGCGCGACCCTCTGCGGAGATCTCCGCAGAGGGTCGCAATCCCGAGCGACGATCAAACTCCCGCCCCGGCGCCTTAGAAACCTAAACTAACTTACATAGCTGCTAACGCCGAAGCTCTAAGCTCTAACCTTGGCTCTATGTAACTTGGCTCTATGTAACTTGGCTCTATGTAACTTGGCTCTATGTAACTTGGCTCTATGTAACTTGGCTCTATGTAACTTGGCTCTATGTAACTTGGCTCTATGTAACTTGGCTCTATGTAACTTGGCTCTATGTAACTTGGCTCTATGTAACTTGGCTCTATGTAACTTGGCTCTATGTAACTCTCTATGTAACTTGGCTCTATGTAACTTGGCTCTATGTAACTTGGCTCTATGTAACTTGGCTCTATGTAACTTGGCTCTATGTAACTTGGCTCTATGTAACTTGGCTCTATGTAACTTGGCTCTATGTAACTTGGCTCTATGTAACTTGGCTCTATGTAACTTGGCTCTATGTAACTTGGCTCTATGTAACTTGGCTCTATGTAACTTGGCTCTATGTAACTTGGCTCTATGTAACTTGGCTCTATGTAACTTGGCTCTATGTAACTTGGCTCTATGTAACTTGGCTCTATGTAACTTGGCTCTATGTAACTTGGCTCTATGTAACTTGGCTCTATGTAACTTGGCTCTATGTAACTTGGCTCCATGTAACTTGGCTCTATGTAACTTGGCTCTATGTAACTTGGCTCTATGTAACTTGGCTCTATGTAACTTGTGCAAGGGCTCCGCACGGAAGAACCCTTCGCGATGCTTTCGGGAAAAAAAGCTGGATAAAACGAAACCCCAAGAATAGATATGCAACCCCCGAGATGGCTTCGGTTGTTGCCCAGCCGCCCAGCCACTCCGAGATCGGCAGCGTGCAGCTCACGCCCCGCCGCCACAGTGAAGGGAGGTGGCCCACCTGCCCGCCATAGTAAACCAACATGTGGGTGTATTAGTTTACATGCAACATGTAAACATATATATATATATGTATATATATATATAAATAGACAAAGAAGTAGAGTGAAGGTAGTTCATGGGGGAGTGACCCTTTTTACTTACAGATTGGTACATAGACAAATATGTGCCATTGTCTTGGAGTTGTTCCCGGTTTGAAGGGAAAACCAAAGGGATAAACCACGGGTCCCAAAACTTCGACACATAAAAGGGTCTGGTACGGGATGTTTGAGGAGGGGAGACCTACAGACTTTCAGGGCAACATGGTAGCCTTGAAGCCATCTGAACGCTGGATGGCAACCGCAAGTCACGTTTTGACTTCTGGGCAACTGACCATGAGTCATGGGGCTTGCCTTCCAAGATTCTTCCCTGGATGGACGAATTCCATGCGCCCCTTTGGGTCAAACCCAGCCCCGTCTGCTAAATAGCGCAGGGCACTTCCACCCAGCCCATGAGTTGTTCCCCCAGCAAAGCACTCAAACTCAGAAGGTTGAAAGGCTCCAGGATGCAAGCAAGCCAGATCGATTTAAACAAGTTGAAGGTTGAAAGGTCCAAGTTGACAGCAAGCAAGCAAGAGGGGCGCTGAGACGGTTTTGGACAACTCACAAGCCACTCTTGTTTTCTGACCATGATCCTCTCGGAAATCGAGCTGCAATACGCATAAAGCAAACACACCCAAAACAATCATTTCAAGTTCACATGGCTTGGTTTCCCCCAGGCCAAAGGATCAAGCTCATCGGCTGTTTTCTTTTCTCCTTCGTCAACTGAAATGAAACGGATGTGCTTGAGCTTCCATGTGAATCTTGGGGGCTGAATTCACCCTGAACCAAAAACAAAAAGCCCGAAAAGGAGAGCTCGAAACCCCCAAGTGCCACTCCCCAAAGTTGCTCTGCTTCCCCGACTGCCCCAACTCACTGCCAATCCGATGTGTTCCGATGCTGGCGCTCAGATCCTTCAGCCCAAAAGACAGACCTCAACTTTGATTCAAAATGGACACGCCCGGAGAAAAAAAACATGCCTCTTGCATATGTCTTCAATCAAACTTTTGTATGGCTTTTGGATGTCTCTCGGTTGTCTTTTAGGTATAGCGTGTCTGTCTCCCGAACATTTGTTGTGGGTGTCTGTCTTGTCAGTCTTCTGCATGTCTCCTAAAAAAATGTTTCACCGTGTATGTCTCTTTACGCCTGTCGTATATCTGGTGTATGTCTCTTGCATACCCGTACAACAGCCTGCGTTCGTCCTTGTATGTCGTCTGTCCAAGACCACGTCATCCGGCCACCTCCCCAGCAGAGCCTTGCCGAAGCGGCTAAGAGCCGCCTGCGCCACGAAGACCGCGCGCGCGGTGTCCACGAAGAGTGGCAGAAACCTCAGCCCAAGTCTGGGCCTCCCTGCCTGAAAATCCCAAACTCTAGGGGTACCTTCCATTTCCCATTCTTTCCAGGAATCCTTCTTTTCAGGAAACCATCAAACACCCAGGGGGAAACAGATCCGGTTGTTGAAAAGAACGACGGTTGAAAAGAACGGACAAGGAATCAACCCCTAGAAAAACCCAATGGGCAGCACCTGAGGCCCGGAGGGTACGCGGGTCAAGATCCATGGGCACTTGGACCTTTAGATTTGTCAGTGCGCGTGACACTGGGGAATGTGACAAAAGCAAGGCGCCCGGAAGCATCTGGAGATTGCCCAACACACAAAGTGGCCGAGCTACACTAACCCGCAGGAATGGTCCTAAAACAAGCCTCAGCATCCATGGTGCGGCAACCAAACCGTGCACGTTGTCAAGGCTGCGTCTTCACTTTAACACAAAAAGCTAACAAGCACACAAGCTTTCACCCAACAAATCAACCCCCACGCAACTTGGAGGACTCCGGGCGAGTCGCTGGGGCGCCAGGAAGTCCGTGGCAGTCTGCAGCGAGCAGCTGTCCAAATGCCTTGGGGTGGATGACAGGTGGATGGAAAAGCGAAATCCAGAGAGCGCAGCACCGAAGAAAGCCTGAAATGATTCGATTCCCCTGTAAATACCAACAAGCAATGGCCTCCCATTGTTTCAAAGTGGTGAAACAATGGTTGAAACGATTGTCAATGTTGGTATTTGCGTTGGGAATCGAATTATTGAAGTGTTTCTTTAAGTGGTGTGAAATGGGAATTCGTCCATCCACAGTAGGTGATTTCTCATGAATGGATGGAGAACATCCCGCAAAACGCGCACCGTTTGTTTGATTTCATGGGGGCTTCATCCATCCGGGCTGGTGAATGGCCGGTGCTTCTTTTGGATTTCCTTCAAACAAGCCAAGAGCCCCCTTTGTTTTAACCAGATGCTGCTCTCTGCAGGCAAACCCAGATGGAATAACATTGGGTTCACCGTTCTTGAATCGCTGGCCCAAGCAATATTCCTTGTGACATGTTTCTGCAGGAGGGTGGCCCAATCCTCGATCCAGGCCAAAAGAAGTCCAAACTTGTGATGTACCAAACTTGTCTATAAGTATGAAGTCCAGGAACTCAGGGAGTCAGTTGTTCTGTCAGCCACTGTCGGGGTGTAGGAACTCTGTCAATGCGTCAGGCTGCCAGAAAACACATCATGACCTGCACAAGTATCTTCGTTAGCCCCCTTCGGGGCCTGCATATACAAGAGAGGCACCATTTTGACATTTGGTCCAGTTTTAAAGGGTTCTCTTGACCGGATGTCTAAGATGGTCCGGTCCCGGTTTTTGAAGTACGTTTGTTTGAACGTCACTAGAAACATCCTTTCACCGATTGAAATTCCCAAGCAAGGCTCTTCACCCCATCTTCCAGCTATCCAACTCAAGCGACTCAAGCGTCTGGTCCTGAACACATCTGTACTTGGGGCATGCTGAATAATTGTCCTTCCAACACCTCGGCTTGAGTCAATCGTTGCCGAAAGCATTGGATCTGACGTCTCAACAGGTTGGCATCGCTTGCCGGGTTGTCTTTTCGACTTGGCGTCAACACGCCATATTGGGGTTGTTCTCCTGTGTGTTCGTTGGTGCATTCTTGGCCCACAGCCGAAAGGTGAATTCATGGACCATGGACCCTCTCTTGGGCAACTTGATTGGTTCGTCGCTCTTGGATATCCAAACAGGAGAGGTCTCTTGAAAATCCTTGCTGGTGCTCAGCAGGGAATGAACCGGGGTTTGCGAATGAACCTGAGGATTCCCTTGAAGGAAATCAAAAGCGATGGTTACCGGGGTTATTCCCTCATTCTCTGCTGAGAACCAGCAAGAACCCTCCGAGGAAACTATCCCAAAAATACCAGGGATGGTGAGGTTTGGGTTGGGGATGGAGGCTAGTGAAATTTGGGGGTCACAACAGTGGTTGCAAAATCCACGAAACCCACCACTCCAACTGGATTTTGTCTACCCGCAGTATTCAAACAATTTCGGGCTTCCCAACCATCAGATCATCATCCCCTCTGCTGGGGCTTACAAACCTGGAATCAACAGGGAGCTGCAAATGGTGGACCTTTGCATATTGAAAGGGAAACTCAAGGACACCCGCCATTTTTGGGGGACCAAATCCTTTCAGAATCCAGCTTATCACTGGGTGGCTCTCTTCCCTGGGCAAAAAAAGGTCGATCTTCTTTTGGAGGAGTGGAAACGCCACTTCTGCTTGGTTGCTGCTACCCCTGCAAAAAGCGAGTTTCACTTTTTGGGGGTTCAGTTCGGAAAACCCAACTTGATTTCAACCAAAACGTGAAGTCTAAACTTCTGCTGGTCCTGAGCCTGGGCCTTGAGCCTTGAGCCAGCCTTGAGCCAGCCAGCCGAGCAGTCGAGCCGCTCGCCCAGCTTTCTGGCTCGCAGGAAGTCCGGCGCCACCCGCAAGGGCACCGCAAGCCTCGGCTCGGAGGAGACAGCGGACGGGCCTGGGGCTGTGAGTTGAGGGCAGGTGAGTGATGGATGTGATCCTCGGATGAAGCTTGGCAACAGAGCGCGCGCGGGCATCTTGCGGTACTTTTGCCAGTGGCCGAGGCTGGCCACACAATCTTACGATTTATCAAGGTCACCCCCCCAAGTGATAGGTCAAGGGAAACACCCCCCCCCCCCCCAGTTGCTGACTTTGATAACCCCAAGCAAACTGCCAAAATCGAATGACCCCAGTGAGAGTAGTGAACAAACATGCCTTTGCGACAAGACGCACAGGGTTGATGTTGAGCACCAGCACCTGGGGCGTTGCCCCCATCCACTCCAGAAGCCTCTTCAGCTCGGCGCAATTGCCTGCGGCTTCGCCCGTAAAAAGGGGCACGAGGCAGGAAGTGTGACTCTGGTCCATAGTTCACCCCGAAATGTTGAGCTGTGTCCAAACGGCTCCCAGTCGTGCGGATGTATTTTGACCCCTGTTTGAGCCCTTGAGTTCTCCTCACAAGCCGCTGCCCTTTGTGGAGGGCACAGTGCTTGCAGAAGTCCCAAGGGACACCCAACGGAGTTGGGCAAAGGGGGGGGGGTACCTTGCAGCCTTGTAGCGCGTGCTGGAGCAGTGCATATGAGACAAGAGCTGGTAATTGCAACCCGATGATGCTTCTGGGCCGCCTGATTGCTTACTGGGAAGCATATGGTTTACTGCTCCGGCTGCGATCCGACTGCAGGATACGACCAAAACAACCTCCCATGCAGTCACTCTGGTCATGTGAAAAGCTTGCGGTTGTTCAGTCATCATCAGGTCATCGAAAGGCCACCCAGGTCATCGTCAGGTCATCATCATCATCATCATCATCATCATCATCATCATCATCATCATCATCATCATCATCATCGTCATCGTCATCGTCATCGTCATCGTCATCGTAATCGTCATGATCATAATAATCATCATCGTCACCATCACCATCGCCATCTCCATCGCCATCGCCACATGTTCGCCACCATCACCATTATTAGTTCACCGTCATGCACAGCATCTTCATCATCATTACAATGCTAAAGACACAACAAAACATTGCATCATCATTGGTATCCCGGTTCATATCGAGAGGAGAGCGGCTTGCATTTCAGGGTGCGTTCAACCCAAGTTGGCTTCGACGCCCTGACTTTTCGGAGGCCAAGAGGCAAGCTATGGGATATGACTGCCCAAATGGGTTTGTCTTTGACGGGTACCTTTTCTGGGATGATTTGCAAGGGAAACCAACAAGGAACACCTATTTTGAGACAAACCCACTAGATCATCTAATACTATTTAACCCATAGCCTCTTGATTGATCTTGTTCAATGCGGAAGGTGGCCGCAACGCCACCTGCCGTATCGATAATCCGATATGAGTAGATACCCCAGACCCCGAGTGGCCATGATTTTGCGAACCCCAAAAAAATGCGACCACTATTGCACCACTCTTTGGGTGTTTCGCTTTGCCCGCAAGTCCCAAATTTGCGACATAGATACCCCAGACCCGAGTGGCCATTTGAGCGACTCTATAAACCTCCCATGAATCCCTATGTCGTATCAAGTTGCTTGCTCGCGAGCTTGCGCTTTCCTTACGCGACCCATGTTTAGCTTACGCGGCAGTCAGCGAGCATGTTAAGCTTACGCATGGCTTACGCGTGGGCGTTCTGAGCGTTTCCCCTCAAGAATTGCTTACGCGAGCTCCTCTTCTCATGCAGACGACGAAGAACTACCCTTACGAGTCTCAGCGGCTTGGCATTGTTGTTATTGCTGCAAGTCAAGAAACGGGTTATGCGGCAGCGGCATCCATCGCGAGGGCTAGCGGGCAGCCCAGCTAGGCGAGCTTACGCGCGCCTGCTTACGCGAGCTTACGCGCCCGAGCCCCTTTAGTTTTCCTAGAGCAGCGGTTTCAGAAGCCTTTGTTTGTCCTAGTCAAGGTTGCAACAGCACCTGACATGAGCCCCAAGAGCTCCCAATCAAGGTTCTGCTGGTTTTGTTTTCTTATTGATGTGCACAAGCGGTCTTAGACGACTTCCTGCAGCCAAAGTCTCCGGGCATGCAACAGCACAAGCCACCAATAATCTCATAAGCACAGCTCTTCCGAGCATGCTTACAAAGCTTACCAAGCAATCACGAAGAAGAGCTTACGCAGGTGCTTACGCAGCTTGTTTCCCCAAAAAGTGCTTACGCCGGCTTACGCCTTGCAGGGTTTTGCTTACGCGGCGCCTTGTTATGACACAACTCTTGCTTGGGATGTAACGGGGGGTTTTTAGAGCTGCTCATTTGGATGTGGGTCAAAACTCTGTAATGGGTGTTCATCCGCCCCAAAATGGCGAAAATGGAGGCATAGGTTACCCATGGCCATTATTTTGAGACCACTGCTCGGCCTGCTTTGGGCGACAGCGCCAGCACATCCACGCCGCGGTCGGCAATGATGGCCTCAGCCTCATCGATCTCCAGCCTGAGCGGGCCTGAGCCAACGGGCACGTCAGCCATGGTCTCAAATTGGTGTGTTCCTTTGGGCTTTCAAAGCATCCCCTCCAAAACCCATTTTGAGCGCCCAAAAGACATCGGGAGCCTTAGGGTAGGTGTTTTCCTTCCTTCCAAACCACCGCACAAAGAATTCCCTCCAAAAAAAGACACGACCGTCTTCTTGGGAGGGACATGAGGAGACTCACGAAAAGTTCACTAAATGTCCCACAGCTTCTTGGGAAACAAGGCAATTTTGGGTTCGCCATTTTGAGACAAACCGGCATCAGAAATATGTGAGACAGTGTCATTTCGGGTCCTTCCGAAGCAAACAAAAACACATTTCAAGGCATGGTTTGCGTGATTCAGTATCAACCACATTAATTGTAACGGAACTCGTAGCGGAACACGAGGTGGCAGCCAGCTGGCCAACCACTGCAAAATCAGTCACTTCCCTGATTCGCCAGACTCCGGCCGCGCGCTGAGGCTTCGCAGCGGTCAAATGACCCAGACAAGGAGGCGATAAAGGAGGACGCAGCCAGCTTGAGATGTTCACATGGAGAGCATGAGCTAAGGGTCCCGAGTTGACAAGATCAAGTGATATCTATTCTATGAACACACAAATATATATATATATATATATATATTTAGGAAATAAACGTGTGTGTACGTGTGCATTGTCATTCTGGTATGTGAAGCATGTACTGTCAGCGTGTTGAATCTGCATCAGTAAATATAATGTTGGCCCTGAACCAGCTGTTCGCCTTGTTTCTATCCTAGTCCGAGACAGGGAATGGCCTGGGTAGGCGCACAAAATCAGCAGCAATATGCCCGTTGACTCCGATCGGCTGGTGTGGCTTGATTGGTTAAAAACAGAGCCAGACTATGTTGCTCCGCCAGCGTTTCCTTTGCGCGGAAGGTTTTGGAAGAACTTCTCCGCGTTGCAAACACGCACATTCGATTCATATTATGCATCATAGCAGTCCGAAGGACTTTTGCAGCCAGTGTAGGAAAAAAACAACAACATGGCAGTTCAGCAAACCAGTTGAATATTAATTAGATTTGTGTATTTATACATATATATATAGTATCAAGGTGCCACAGGTACTGCTCACGCCGTGCCGCGGCTACCACAACAAGTCCGGCTATACATATATATATATATATGTATATATATATATATATATTAACTGTCCCCATGAAGCAACACAGAACCTTTGCCAGGCTCAGGCTGCAGCTTCCCGGCAGCTTCCCCCGCGCTCCGTTTCCAGGTCCCGTCCCCCCCCCCCGCCAGGTCTCCGCGCCTTGCAGGGAGCGCGCGCCAGGAATGAGCTGGGCCCCGCCGAGGCAGGTGGACTGACGCGACGGGCGGCGGCGTGGCTCGGCTTCGCTCGCCAGCCCAACACACGTGACCTCGGCCTTAAGACGAAACTGGATCAAAATTCGAGCGCTTGGGGGGTGGTTGGGAACTCCTAGCAAAAACTATGAGGTTGGTTGGGTGGGGTGGGGTGGGTTGGGTTGGTTCAAGCAGCGTGGAGGCTACAAGCTGCCCCCGCAATAACAGGCAACGCAGCTTCACACTGAGTTGCTTTACTTGTTCCGCTGAAAACCGCTCCGCCTCCCGTACAATCCCCTTGACCAACAAAGACACACTTCCGCCAAAGGAGCACCAGCCCTTTCAGCAAAGCTGAATACCACTCTCTCTCACAGAAAATGCAGGACCTGCAAGACCAAGGTGAGCACAGCCACATCTTGGGAGCATTCCAAGTGAAACCCTCTGGTTGGGGAAGTCGTTGTCCAAAAGGTTAAAAAAGGCTTAAGGCACAAAGAAAATCTATCTTTTGGAGTTTTCAAACCATCGGTCGTCCTCTTTGGCTTGCCTTTTTGCCGCTTTCAAAGGTCGCCTCTTGGGTGCCTCCAACTCTTTCATTCAACCGAGTTGAAAGGACTCCGCGGCTGCCACAAAAGAAACCGCAATGCGGCTTCGTTCAACCAGGCAAACAGGAGGCAAGCAGGCAAACAGGCAAGCAGGTAAAAGTCCGTAATTATGCAGAATAGGCACACACACACATACGTCTATCATGTGGAGCTGCATCTTGAAAGGGGACCCTGTCGTTTTGGACCCCCACCTTGATTTTGTGGCACATAAACAAGATCAATTGGAGGTCAAATAGCAGGCCGCGGTTGGGGGGAAGACAAAGCCGCAATGCAACTCTGTCCTTGTCGTTTGTTGTTTCTATAGAGTGACTTTTCTCAGTTGCCAAAAGGACCCAGAAGTAAAAGGCCAACCTTTGAGACTCGACTATGGACCAAATCAGCAAACCAAAAGGTCAAAAGGTCGATTCTTACATTGACACGGGACCAAACTCGCGAATCCTCCGTCCGGTCCTGGCCCACGCAGGAGGTCAGGCTCCGCTGCAGCACCAAGGTGTCGTGCCGCCCGAGCTTCGCGAGACCGCAGACCGGGTCCTGCATCCGTGGGTCTCGTGTTTTTTTGACCGGGTCTCTTTTGGGAACTCGTTTTTGGTTTGGAAGGGAAACCGAATGAAGCAATTCGCAGTCACTTGAATTACACTTCTAGGTCCTCCCTGTGAATTTAACATCAAGGACCAGAGTTTCTTACTTTGAAACCCCTCAGAAAAAAGAAGAAAACAAACAGTTTCGTGCTTGGCGGGGATGTGCTGCTTTGTCATGCTGTCAATTCCCTTCTCAATCACACCAAAATAAGGTGTGCTTGTGCAAAAAACGCGCACTCCCTGGGCGATGCGGGACCCTCGCGATGGGGTGTGTTGTTGCTCTCAAAGTGGCTAATCTCAGGGTTCTGAAAAAGAAGCCATGGCTCTGCCCGGAGACTTTCAGACACTCTTCGCTCGAAATAACAAGCGGAAGTCAATCCATCCATGGCTGCAACAATGATCTAACATGAAAAGCCAGGATGCAGGACGCAGGACTGCGCCAAACACCCTGCGTTGTTCATGTTGTGCCTGAAGTGCGATCTTTAGCACACAAAACGTTGCAGTTCGCACAAATCATTTGACGCGTAGCGTTTCGGTGTCCTCGGCCCTTGGCCACGTTGCTTTGGCCCAGACTGAACCCAGCACGTGTGAGAAGGCGCCTCAACAAAAGGCAGGTAGAGCCTTGTTTCCACATGCATGCGCAAGCAGGTTTGCTGTGTCAGGTTTATAGCTGGTGGCTGTTGGTCAAGAAACAAAACCCTCAGGACTACGCTTGCCTTTCCTTGACAAGGGAACCAAATGCTCAGGCATTGGCTCCTAAGAATTCGCTCTTCGGAAATCAACAAAGGGCAAATGAAAGGAAAACTGGCAGTAGCCCTCAAAGAGTCGGAATGGTATACCATAGCCCTGGGCGCGCAAAACCCTATGCAGGTGTTCCTCCTTGTAGCTGTTCAATCATGCCTCCGGTTTCAGGCTACCCGTCAACCCGTGTCCCCTCTGCTCGAGGCTCACGGCCTCGGGCAAGCCCCCCACATCCCTCCTGAAAGCTGCCGAAGCCATTCAGCTCGCAGTCTGGGGCCGCGTCCCTCGCGGGTGAGGGTCCCAGTCAGGCCGCCAGTCCCTGTTAGGGCGACCAGGGCCTTGTTGGTTTAAACAGATTTGGCCCAAAGAGAACGGGCGACACAAGAGAAGGGACCAGTTGTGAAGTTTCGTGTAACATGGGAGCAGGCAAAATGTTTGGTCTTTTCAAGGAAATCCTTGACGACCCAGTCTCCAAACAGCACCGAGCAGCACCCCATGGGCAAGATCCCAATGACAGTCTCAGTGCATGGCCATCAAAAGCTCGTTGAGAAAATTGTCCTCCGCTTCTCAGTCCGTTTAACTGATTCTCATGCGCCAAAGCCATTCGGCCATGCCATTCTGCTCATGTCCTACAGGCTGGACTTTGGCGTTCCAATTGCCGAAGCTCTGTATGAACCGCATTCTGCGCCCCTTCCTATGACTTATCTCCTTCATGAGCCTCGGATCTTCTTACAACTCATAATTGATCCTTCACAATCCCGTTCTCCGAGGTTGCTTGCTATTGAACCGTATCAAATCCCTGGTAGAACAAATGACAAAACCCTCGTGTTGTCTGGAAGAACAACTGACATCTGCGGTTTGCTCATGGCGCCGTGATCCGTTGACTTCTTGAATGTGCAGCTTTCACTGCTCCCCATTAGTGAGTGAGTGAACGGAAATCAAACCTCCAAGACTGGTTTCCGGGAGCAGCCCGGAAAGAAGCGAAAACCCTCCTCTCCCTGCCTGTCGCTCACCTCAACATTGAGAAAGGCCTGCACTCCGCGCAAATGCACTGAAAACAAGCCTAAAGATTGTTTCTACTCACTTACATGTTATATAATGGTGTCCTGGCCACAGATTGCAACTAACTCAGGGATCCCACATCATGCTTCAAGAAACTGTCTACCACGAGCCCAAAACAAATCCGAAGCCCATTCATATCCCCTGCTCCTCGGCTGAAGCCTCCATGTTCGATTTCATCCGTGCACTTATTACGCTCCCAATCTTTGTCGCCCAAAGACTGCAAGTGGCCTCAAACTGACGTGAGACACCTACACCCCTATGTTTCCAATATGTGATATTTGGTATGCAGAGTCTTCGAGCGTTTGGACACTCTTCAGGAGCCACAAGCACATCTGGGCACAGATTATTGTTGAACCGCAACCTCACAATGAACTCCCTCTGATGAATGATGCCTTTGGGTAATGCCAATTTCAAACAGCTGGACGAGTGTGCAAGCACATCACCGTATCTGCTCTTTGAGAGTATCTTTCTTCGGCATGTTTCAAAGGGAAGCGAAAGGGAGTGTGGGTGTTTCTATTTTGAGGCAGACCCGTATCACTGCAAAAACCCTACCGCAATCGAATCGTTTCCAAGCCAACGGGTCAAAACGAGCAAATCCAATTCCCGCCCCTTAGAATCCACTTCCGAAGATGGTGGCTCCCAATTTTCTCAAATCCGGGTAGAACCCATCGCCTGGACAAAGTAGATTGATCGGTCACAAATAAAACCATCGCAGTGCCCTTCTGGCAAGAGATGCCACGAAGGAAGCAACAATTGGGCCAAAGCCACGAAGGAAGGCCCCCAGGGTTGGGCCAATTCCCTGTTTCAACATATCTTAAAGCAACTTCCTTATTTCAACAACTTCCTTTTGGTTCCCCAGAAAGGGCCAGGCTACGGTTATAATAATGTTCTGTACTCTGCGATATGGGTTTGCTTCCCATCCCTAAACCCTAAACCCTGCCTTCTCTTCAAGCCGCTCCAGCAGCGGATGCAACCAGTGCATGGGGTCGTGGGGCCGGGTCACACCTGGCTTGAGGCCTTCGGTTTGTACATGGGTTGCCTAGGAAGTGAGGCGGTGCCGGAAAGGAAAAACCCGCTGAGCGTTTTGGTCGCGGAAGCTTCTCGATGCGAAAGATTCCGGGCACACGTTCCATGTGTTTTGCTTTTGAAATGAAGGATTGCTTTCGCGGAGTTTTGAGCTTTTGCGGCGGGATTGCTTTTCCGGGCCATCTGCATGGATTAGGTCGCAAACATACACTTCCGCGGCGCTTCTTTGAGGGCTCTTCGACCACTTTTCGCCGCAAGCCTTGACTGGCTTTCTCGCCCTGCTTCTTGAAGCTTTTTTCGAGGCGTACGTAGCGGCCCTCAATTGACCCAGGGCCTGGGAACACGGAAGGGACCGCGCCATGTTGGGGGACGCGCTTGACCGAGTGACCCCTTTGAGCAACACACCCGATCTGTTCAAATCATCAGCACACGGAAACCCAGTGACCAATTCTCAGCTTCCAGCCACGGCTTCAAATGGCTATCTAAAATAGGGAACCTCCTCAAAGGGGGGTGGTGGAATTCATGAATCCCACCAAGATTTGTCCAAAGGCCAAAAGAGTCCTAAGCAAACATATCGCTGAAAGCGTGAAGAACTGTCTGCAAACTGTGGCGTAGCGAAATTCTCAGCATCCGTGCATCCGAGGGCCGCAAGGGCCATGCCCTCTTTTGGGCCTTGTCTTCTAGTTAACTTGTTCAGGGCGCTGGCCTTTGTCTCGTGCTTGAACCTCCGTGGGATCATCCAGCATAGAAATCTTGCGGATTTGGAAGACACAACGTCCCCCCCACCTCCAAGCACCACCTGCACACCTGCGGTCTACTGGGCCCCTTCAAGTGGTTGCTGGGTGCTTCCATTTTTTAGAGTGACATGTTGCGTGTCAAAATAGGAGCACCCCCGAGAATGGCGGCTTTCAATTGAGCGACTCTATAAACCTCCCATGAATCCCTATGTCGTATCAAGTTGCTTACGCGCGAGCTTGCGCTTTCCTTACGCGACCCATGTTTAGCTTACGCGGCAGTCAGCGAGCATGTTAAGCTTACGCATGGCTTACGCGTGGGCGTTCTGAGCGTTTCCCCTCAAGAATTGCTTACGCGAGCTCCTCTTCTCATGCAGAGGACGAAGAACTACCCTTACGAGTCTCAGCGGCTTGGCATTGTTGCTATTGCTGCAAGTCAAGAAACGGGTTGTGCGGCAGCGGCATCCATCGCGAGGGCTAGCGGGCAGCCCAGCTAGGCGAGCTTACGCGGACCTTACGCGCCTGCTTACGCGAGCTTACGCGCCCGAGCCCCTTTAGTTTTCCTAGAGCAGCGGTTTCAGAAGCCTTTGTTTGTCCTAGTCAAGGTTGCAACAGCACCTGGCATGAGCCCCAAGAGCTCCCAATCAAGGTTCTGCTGGTTTTGTTTTCTTATTGATGTGCACAAGCGGTCTTAGACGACTTCCTGCAGCCAAAGTCTCCGGGCATGCAACAGCACAAGCCACCAATAATCTCATAAGCACAGCTCTTCCGAGCATGCTTACAAAGCTTACCAAGCAATCACGAAGAAGAGCTTACGCAGGTGCTTACGCAGCTTGTTTCCCCAAAAAGTGCTTACGCCGGCTTACGCCTTGCAGGGTTTTGCTTACGCGGCGCCTTGTTATGACACAACTCTTGCTTGGGATGTAACGGGGTTTTTTTAGAGCTGCTCAATTGTTGTGTGTCCCTTCATTAAACAGGGTACCAATGAGAAAGCACTCATCCTTAGGATGTCATTCTCTCATGGAACCACCCTCATGGCCTGGAAGTTGGCTCAGTGGGGAACCCCCATCCCCTGCAAACCTGAAAGAGGGCTCAATTCAATGTCTTTGGGTTTCACATGGAAAAAAGGGAGCCATGCCATTTTTAGGGCGACCCATTGTTTCAGTCCTAAAACTAGGGCGCGGGGGGCCCTCTCGGACGCACCTCCCCGAAGCGCCTTGCCCGCCCCCATCCCTCCCTCCGTCGGGGCCTTCCCAGGGCAGCGCCTCGGCAAAGTCCACGGCGGAGCAGTGCGGCAGCAGCAGCCGCGGAGCGCCTGGGACCCGTCGTCGGCTCCCCGTCGGCGCACCCGGCCGAGTCCGAGTCCGAGTGAGTCCCATTCGCCGCCGGCTCTTCGGACTTCACACCCCCAGAACCCAATCCACTGGAGTCTGAGAAAATGTGAACCTTGAAATCTAAAAGTGAGGGTTGCCAAAAGGGTGCCACCCTTTTGGCACAAAGCTAGGAAACCAACTGAAGGAACTACGGGGTCCTAAACCAAGTAGCGGTTGTGACTGCCCGAGAGAAAGAAAAGGCCCCCAACATGCCAAAGCAGAGTTTGAAGCTGCCGATCCAACGTGGCATGTCTTCCTTCACCTTGGGGCAACGTAACATTCCATAAAAAAAATGCACCCCTGACAAGACGACAGTTTCCCGTAGCTGCCATGGGTCATTGTAGGGTGCCACAAAAGAACAAACCGCAACGAGTGACAGCGCCACAAACGTGGCAAACAGTCTCCTTCCGTGCCCTCAACACGACGTAAGGTTGCTGGAATACGGACTCTGGCAAGCTGAAAGAAGCGCCTTCGAAGAACCACCTTCGGGGTTTCCTCGGGCTGTCCGCGATTTCCGGCCCTTCCAGCCCTTCCAGCTCGCGACTTCCAGCTCGCGACTCGCGACTCGGTGCAACGGTGCAACACGCGGCCTCCAGCAGTCAGCCAAGACATGCCAAACTCGGGCTTCACCAGGGCCTTCGTGGCTCGCCAGAAGGGAACAAAAAAAAACAGCGTCAGGCTGGTGGTTCTGGATGCATGGTCGCCGTGCCAAGCGACATAGAAAACGGGGTCAGGGGTCCCTACATGCGACACATTATATTGCAATGAACATGCTGGCATGTGCGGTAAGCGCACCCTAGTGAGCTTCCGCTTATTTCTGCTTAAGAGAAAACATGTTTGTTGGAGACCTCCTGACTCTTCCTTCTTCCCCAAGTGACTTTGAACATCGCGCCGTGCTCAGGGAGGGGCAAACTTAAGATGACCAGCATCTCCGACCAGCGGCGATGATGTGTTGTACGAAGCTGCGGTGGAGAGGCAGGAAGCACCAATCACTTTTTAGGAGAAGCCGGCTGCATGACGGCCCAGCTCTTGGCTTCTTGTTTGCTGGCTTTTTGGCAAGGTTGTGAGGCTCACCCTTACAAATGCAACCATGCGCTGCGAAGCTTCCTGGCAACTCAACTGACCATGCGCAAGACACTTGAGGACAGTTGTCTCATGCGGACGGATTGAATCCGCTGTGCACGGCGAAGCAGTGCAGCAGCGAAAGTTCGTGGTCCGCGGTGTGTTACCGCTATCTTCGCGCGAAAGGCCGGGCGAGGTCCCCGGCCTTGGAAGCTGTTCGGCTGCTATTGAACAGCCGCAGCATGTGATCCACCTTGTCTAAGGTGCAAGGGGATAGTCCTAAAACTACTCCATGCAAAGGCATCCCAAAGCCTAGTGAGAGGCGATTGAGGCCATGAACAAATTCGAAGTTGATGCCAAGCTCACGGGCGAGGGCCTTCACCAAAGAGGACACAAAGCGAACACGAACAGCAACCGTGAGAATGGAACCATCGTGGCCTCTACCCTGAGATGCATCAACCCACGGATCACTGCCAACCGCAGGAAGTGGGTGCGACAAGTCGCTCAAAAAGAGGGCGGCAGCAAGTTCAACCCAGGCAACACAATGCTGTACGTGTGCCCCTGTTTGCTGCTCTCTAAGCCAGTTGAGAAACTGGTGAGGAAAAGTTTGCCCAAAACGGGTGGCACAAGCGCTGGTGTTCCAGACATGGCTTAAACTGTCTGGCAGTGAGACCGGGCGCGCGTTCAGAAGTGGAATCCGAGGGGCTTCGCAATCTTCGTCTGGGTCCAGGTGCTCTTCCCCATGAGCACCTTCAGAGAGTAGCCGCTTTCTTGTGGCTGCCAGATCAAGATGAAAGGCCCGCAAGTAGTCCACTTCCTGGCGCTGTCGCCGGGTGGCTTGCTCGTAGCGGTCCCAAAGGGTTCGGAATGAGCTGGTTCGCATAGTGTGGGCGTGGCCCGCTGCAGCATCGGCTTGTCGGTTCCAGAAAATGATCCAGTCGGTCAAAGGGTCAGGGCTGTCACTTTCGGCCTGGTGGCTGCTGACGTGTACCACTGAGAGTTGCCCTGGATACATCATTTCCAGGAATTGGCTGGTCTGCTCCCAAAGGTCCTCGTGCGAGTGGACGTTGGAGTTGGTCGGGTCATGAGCGATCTGGTTGAGGGTCTGGGCAACGTAGGAGTTGTCGATCCATAGGGTTCCTTTGACCCCTGTCCGCGCAAGCCAGGATACCGCCGCCAAGGCTGCGGTCAGTTCGGCTCGATCAATGGACTGGTGTGGTCCACACAGTGGTCCTTTGGCGAGGACGGACTGGTGCGAGGCCGAGACCGCGGCCCATGCGGCCAAAGAGCGGTCGGGGTCGTTGGGGTTCCAGCAGGAACCGTCCGTGAAGATGTCCACTACTTGATGGTCACCAGGTTGAAGATGATGGTCGAGAGTCCTGTCCTGGAGCTCGGCGAGGGCGTGCTTGATCTCCCGGAAGTGGGCATTCCTGCTGGGGAGCAGGTGGATCCGTAAACTGCATGGCCAGTTATCCCAGCGTTCCATGACCCACTGGTGCCTTTCCCGCAAAGGGGTGAGTGGAAGGCATTCACGACATCGGTGCTCCATGGAATCTGGCTGTTGGCAAAGGTCGCAGTTGTAGCCGTGCGCAAGGTCGAACTTCCCCTGGATGTTCCGCGTCATGAAGGATCCGTCCCGTAGTGCATCATTGATGGTGGCCACTTCAAGTGCGCCCATAGCTTTTTCAGTTCGGCTGGGAGGCCATTGCAGGCCTACGAGGCCCGCAAATTCGGTCCGTGGCTGGATGAAGCGCGCGACCCGTTGATACCAGGCGTCCTGCAAGAGCTTGTAGAGCCAATCCTGGGGGATGCTGAGAATGTTGACGCAGAGTCCATCGTGATCACGGAGGAGTGGTGGGTTCAACACTGTCCATTGGACGAGTGTTGCCTGCTCCAGTATCTTGCCATAGGGGCCAGAGAAGCTCTGGCCATCATAATTCCGCATGAAGCGTTGCCAGAGGTGAAGAAGGTGTGGCTCCTTGATGAGGATGCGCTTGAAGTCCATGAAGGTGGTGAGCAACTGGTAGAAGCCGGGGTCGAGACAGGGATGGTCTCCTCCAAGACTGAGTCGGATCATTGGCTGAGATCCTGCAGCTTTCCACCCAAGAGCGCGAACCGCTTGAGTCCGCAGCTTGCCAATGTGGTCTTCCGCCATGGGTGTGATTGCGATGGCGTGCAGGGCAGCTGGCCAAAGGGCTTGTCGGATAATCTTCTGCTTGGTGCGCAGGTCCATGGGGAGACGCCGGAGCCGTGCCCAGCAAGGTTCAATGGCCTTGAAGCGCTCAAGTTGTCCTTGAACGGAACGAGCGCGGGAGAAGGTGAGTGCCCCACCAAGGTCAACTGCCGTGGTCTTAACTCGAAGGCCAAGGCGGCGAAAATGGCTTCTGTCCTGTGAGGAGGTTGCCCATGTGAATGTCTTGGGCTCGTCAAGCTGGAGTTGCCAGAGATCCATGTAGGTCTGCATGACCGCGTAGCCGTGGAGTAGTTCGTATGCGTTCGTGGCCAGGAGTTCGTAGTTGTCCACGAAGGACTTAGGGATAACTGCCGGCGCAAAACGAATGTAGAGGTCGAAGACCCAATCGATGACGCACATGCCCATGACGGCCAGAGAGTCCCCTTCTGGTAGGCCTGAGGTGGATGTGAGTGGCTCGCTGATTTGTCCATTGTGGACAAAGCGTCGCTGAAAGTTGTTCAGGAAGTGGTCGCATGGTCGGAGGACTCGTGCAGGTACTCCGAGATGGTGACATGTGGCCATCAGGGGTCGTCGTGGGATGGATTCAAAGGCCTTGCTAACGTCCGTGGTGAGGCCGGCGAGGCCTTGGCCACCTTGGAGTGCAAGTTCCACTGAGGCCTGTATGTAGAGCCAGATCTGGCCGGCTTCTCGTCGAGGAAGGAATCCTAGGGCGTTTGGCCCAACAAACTTCTCAAGGAAGTGGATGAGGACCTTGGCACGGAGGCTTGACCAGCTTCTGTAGACAGTGGAGAGCACAATGATGGGCCTGAACTTGTTGATGGTGTCGGCCGCGGTCTCCTTAGGAACTGGAATTCCAAAGCCTTGTAACAGCTGCTGTGGCCATTGAGCGGTATCCTCGACATGGTTGAGGAGTTGCACCATTCGTTCTTTGAGGACGATGGGCATCCGAAGGAGGTCTTGCTTGTCGAAACCGTCAGGACCCCTTGCCGCGTGTTCATTGTATCGAGCGTTGACTTTATCCCACGCACTGACTGTGATGGCCGGCACCTGCATCTCCAGTTGTGGAACATGAGCCTGGACAAAGCCAAGGATGCGGTCCCATTGGTCAGCAGGAACATCGCGATGACGCAGCCATCGTGGTTGCCAGAATTTCTGCAGCTCCTCCAGGATTTCCGTGGAGTCGGTGTAGAACACCCTGTGTTCCAGCACCTGGCCAGGGCAAAGCAGGAGGTCGGTGTGCACCTGGTAGGCGTTGGGTCCGGTTTTCCGGGTTTGTGCCGGTTCGTCATCGACGAACCAGAGGCCATTGGTCGCCTCTGGGAGCGCGTGGTCGACCAGGACTTCAGAGGTCTGGGCGTCGACATGAAGGATGTCCGCGTAGTGGTAGCTGACCAAGTGGTCCATGCTGTGGAACTCCTTGCCCTTGACCGCTTGGAAGGCTTTCTTCGCTTGTTCACGGTACTCGACACGAAGTGCCCGTTGCCGTTGACGAAGATGCCAGGCTTCCAGGTTCCGGTAGTTGGTGCGGAAGTCCTCAAAGATCTCCTCAATGACGTTGGCAGCTGGTATATCTTCAGGAAGGTATCCTGGTGCGCTTTGGCGTTGATGGGGTCTTTGCAGCCACCAGTAGTCGAAGGGCCCATCGAAGCCTTTGGCGACTTTGATAGCTTGCCATAGGTAGAGCCGGTACTCTATTGCAGCAGCATGTTGACCCGCAGCGTGGATGATGTGCTTGAGGGATTGGATTCTCCGCAGTTGTTTGAACCAGCGTTGGAGCTGACGGTTGATGAAGCTGGATGCCGGAGCCTCCTCACCTTCTCTAGAGGCACGAAGTGCTGGCATCTGAGGAGGTCGGAGACGTGGTTTTAATGCTTGTGCTCGGCCGCGATGGTGTGGGGGAAGGCGCTGTTGTCCTCGCAGGTACACGGTGACGCTGTCCTCGTATTCTGCACCAAGGTTCTTGTAGTACTCAGTCTCGTGGCCGGGTCGGATGTCACCCGGGGGTTCCTCGGACTCGTAGTGTGCCCAATCCTGGATGCAGATGTCATCCCATGGGAGGGCCCCTGGTAGTGGCCAACTGAGAACCATTTGGTTGACCTCCGGGATGCGGAAGCTGGCCGTCAGAGCTTCATGATCCGCGAATCCGCTCTGTACCATAGTTTGTTGGAACAGTAGGGCAAGTTCCGGGGAGACGTAGATGCGGTCCGGCCGTGAGACTCCCTTGCAGGTCATCCTGGGAGGTTCCCCAGTTCGAAGTCGGTGAAGATCCTGTACTTCGCACCACCCCGCTTGCTCCCAAAGATGGAAAGCAGGTAGGGTGTTGGGGCAACCGTTGAAGTCGCCGCTGATGTATCTGGCTCCGGAGGATCCAAAGACCAGCTGCTCGGTGAGGTGCTGGAGCAAGTCCTGGGTGTGCTGGTGTGCTCGCGGCCAGGTAGGTCCAGGGCTCCAGCCGTAAACCGTCACGCCCAGGATGTTGAGGCTCGGCCAACAGAAGCGGGATGCCATAACCCGGCCAGCGGTGTGTTCCCCGCTCGGCCATGGGAGCACAAAGGGGTGTGCTGGCAGGTCGGTGATCTGAGCAACGCCACTCCAGGTGCCGGTGGTGTAACTGCGTGGTCGTAAGGGTAGAGGTGAGCCAGGAAGGAATCGTATGTTTCGTTGGTCCTTTGCGGCCAGTGAGCGCAGAGTTCTGCGAGAAGCTGGGATGCCCTCCTTAGACAAGTGGGTTTCTGCCACATTGATGATGCCCCGTGGGAGTCCAAGAAGAAGACCTTCTTTTCCACGAAGTCCAGTTGGGTTGACTTGAGTGAGGTGGAGCAGGGGGCCAGGGTTGGTCGCTTCTCCGACTCGGCATGGGACCATTGTCCCTGGTGGTAGTTGGTCACCAAATGGTAGTTGAGGTGAAGTTGGCATGTGCCCAGGTGCACCATGGTGTGTCGTCATCGTGGGGCGGTGGATGGTAGAAGCCTCCGTGCCGCCGAGGAGGTAGTAGACAAGGAGGAGTGGCCACCAAAGCGCAAGACCGCGATGTGGCCAGTTGCTGGTTGAACCAAAAGGCTTAGGCCGCTGCTCGCCAGCACGGGCAGCGCCATTGTGCCGTAGTCAGGAGGAGCGGGGCCTTTTCTCAAGCAGGGCCTCCAGCCTGGAGAACCCAGCTCCCATTTCGGTCTGCATATCGGCTCGGACTTGTCGAAGAGCATCGCCGACTGAGTTGGAGTGGCCCGCAAAGTCGCTCCTGATATTGCCGAGCTCTGAGGAGTGTGTGTGGACGACCGTCTGCAACTCATGGATGTTGATTTGGAGCTGCTGGTTGGCATCCGCCGAGTCTTTGAACCATTGCTGGAAATTCTGGTTGTGAGCTTTGAGTTCAAGCATGTCTTGCTCAAGGGTTTGGATGCGCTGGACTGTGCTGTCCGCAAAGTGGTGGTCAATGCCGGAGGCCGAGTCGATCTGCATGGAGGTTTCTTCAAGCTCTTTGCGCAGGGTGGATCGGACTCCATCACGAAGTCGAACTTCCATTTGTTGGTACTTGTCCTGCGGGGTGATGTGGCTGTTGGAGGTCCTCTGTGACCACGGGTCAGGGCCCAGGACCCATGGGTCATCCGAAGTGGAGGTAGGTGCAGGTTGTCCAGCTTTGTGAAGTTGTTGCCGCGTGCTTGAAGTAGCCAGGATGGGCGGTGGCGTGGGGTCCTTGACAAGGTGTCGCCCAAGGGTGACGATGACATCACCCTCCGCCGTCTGCATGAGTTCAGCTGGAGGTGGTACCAGCTGCAACCTCCCAGGTGTTGCCCGCTACTCCGCCGCCGATGGGTTGTAGCACTCGGGCTTGCCATCCCCATTTCGTGATGGCCTTTTGTAGGCTGTGTCGTTGCATGCCGAAGGGTAGCGGAAAGAGCCGGTAGATCGAGGTTGCCTTCGTGTTGATGAAGGGCTCCTCCGGTCGGAGTTTTTTGAACGTCTCCTCGGCGTCGGCGTCGAGCACACGCACGCCATACTTCTGGTGTAGCCGACCCACTGCGATCGCAGTGGGCGTGGTTCTGCATTTGTGCATTGCGGCGCCAACGGAAATGTTTCCAAGCCAGACCATTGCATATGCCGGGTCGGCTTCCTTGCCCCCCGATGTGCGGGGTTCGACATAGAGTCCTGCGGTGGCTGAGAGCCCCTGTAGGCTGTGCTGTACGAATTTTGGCACTCGGGCTAGGACAGTCCAGTAGGCAGCATTCTCGGGCTTGCAGAACTTGCCTTCGGCGGACAGCCATGTTCGGCTCCAGAGGTCCATGATGACATTGTCGACGGCCTCGTCCACAGGGGGATGGTAGAAGGGGCATGAGTCCCCGCAGCTCTCTTCTTTGCACAAGCGCAGGATAGGGAACTTCTGGATGAGCTCTCGCACGGGCTTCTGCAGAAAGAGTTCCCAGGTTCCAGTCCATTGGTCCTTGTAGACAGAGAAGCGCAGTGTTTGCGTAGCCATGATCTCGATGCTGGGGCCACCTGAGTGATCAGCACGATCGATGGAACCCTGGCCCAGGAGGATCAGGCTTCCCGCAATGAGCAACGGCTCCCCCGTAGGCATGTAAAGAGCAGGGTATCGGAGATGGCGGACTGGTAGTAAACCACATCGCTCAGCTGGTACAGGAGTTGTGGTGAGCACCCCGACTGCGGTGTTGTTGATGGGCTTGCCCTCCTTGAGGTAGGGCAAAACGTCGGCGACCGAACCGAACGCGATGCCGTTGGTGGCAGTGCTGAGGGCCCCAAGGTCAATCTGTGTGACGGGCTGGTTCTGATGCACGAATGTGTTCGGTGCTAATTGTAGCAGGTGGGGCTCAACCTGAAGTAGAGGAGGTGGTGCATCTTTGCTTGTTCGGGCAGTTTTGCGCTTGCTGGACTGGATCTTGTTCTCCCGGATCTGGGCTTGGAGTTCATCATGAGCAACCCACATAAAGTTGATGCTGGGTCGGCTAGCAACGGACTTCATTGCCGGCCACGGGTTCTTGAGCTGGACGACTTGTTGAAGCTCTTGAAGTCCGATCTTTTTGAGGGCAGCATGTGCTCGTTCTCGCACCCGGGTGGTTGGTACGCCTTTCTGAAGAAGGATAGTCTCAATGGCGCGGAGTACGACAGACTCCTCAGCAGGTCCGCAGCCAATGTATTGCTGGTGGATCTGTGGGAAGGCTTGCAAAATACCCGCATGCAGTTCTTCGTCTTGGTTGCTGGGCCAGAGATGATGGATCCGCAGGGCATGTGCAAGGTTGCCAAGGAGGACCGTGCCACATGTTGCCGGATGGACTTGATCACGTCCTCCCTTGTTGTTGTTGAGGATGATCTTGATGTGGAGCGACTTCTCAAGATCCAGGAGCAGGTGTTGGAGTTGTTGGGCGCTCGAATGTGCCGTATGTGCATTGTAGAGCTTGGCTACACCAACTGGTGCAAGAGCTGGTGGTGCATGAAGTTCAAGTAGTAGCCAGTGGCCCTGATGTAGCACAAGCCACAACTGCCAGCCAGTGATGTTGGATGCGGCCGGGTGCTGGTATAGCATGAGTGGATGCGTGGCGGATGGCTCGATCAGGCATCCAAGAAGGGGTCCAGAGGCAAGGGCGTGGTGGTGGTAGTTGAGGAGGTTCAGGGCAAGTGGCCATAACGTGTGTGCGGTCATGCCTTGGTTGGCCGCATCGCCGCCGCCTGTGGTGATGTGAAAGGAAGCGGTGTTCCACACTCGAAGGTCCTGTGCAACTCGTAGGCCATAGTCGGTGAGGATCTTGGCGTTCTCATCGATGTGATACTCCCGCAGGACCTCAAAGATGAAGGATCCAGCATCCTTGTAGGTGACGATCTCCTCCTCGTTGGCACGGATGGTGATGGCTACCAGCCCAGAGGGTTGCAATCGCCTTTGTTTCTTGAGCGCATAGATGAGCCGGTAGGGGCCAAACATACCAGCCGTTTGCATCCATGCTCCGTGTGGTACTGCTTGATGTCCATCAAGGAGTTGTGGCTGCGAGCCCCAGGGTTGGCTGCCCTGTTCTGCATTCAGGATCTGCTCGACTGTGACGTTGCCAGTGAACTTGATGTCGAGGTAGGAGTCATCAGCATCAATGACCCATGCTCGGCAGATTTGGGCAGGGTGGTGCTTGGCCCAGAAGTGAAACTGCCTCTGCATAAGGTGGTGCTTGTAGTCCTCAATGGCCTGGAGTGGGGAAATGTCGCTGGTGCTCCGGTCTTGTAGTTGGACTGCTCGAAGGAGATGCGCATATATCCACAGGGCTTGGAGAGGTGCGGCCGATTGTCCCAAGAGGCACAAAGCCGTTTTGAGGTCCACCCCGAGATGCATCACCGGGTCAAAGGAAAGGAGGAAGCCCAGCTCATTCGGGTGCAAGTAGCGGAACTGGCTGGTGAGCTGGGACCTG